CTGTTATTCTGTGGACAGTAAAATGTTGACCGTGTATGTGTCTCTAAGGATCTAGGTAGGTGAGTGTGTCTTGTGGTGTTTGGGCACGAAGGTACTGGCTCAAATTAACAACATTTATTGGTTGGAGTGAAGATTGTCGCGAATTAGTGGCTAGTCCACCTGTTCACTCAGTAAGTGAATTGCAAGCTTACTTTTGACTCAAACTGAGGGGACCCGGCAGCGTAAGCTGTTTTCTAAATAACTTTAGCAAGTGTAGAATATCGTCTAGTAATCACAAATATTTTTACATTCTGAGATGCATTTCCAAGAACAAGATCCCTGATACAATCATCCTTGTTTCAACTAATTATAGCCGTTTGATGTCTGACCACTTGTAAAAAGTAAGTAAATGGATCAAACGTTTGTTGTTTCATGTCAGTAAGGTCATTGGCACTATTTAGCACAATGACTAAGTTCGAGGAATTTCATTGGGAGATGTTTTCTTCAAGATTTGCTAGGAGCAATTATCTCTCAATTACCTCGCCAAGCCGTGCGAGGCCGGTGATGCTCCCATTCACTGAGGGCCTGAAATGTGTACTGGCACCATGAGACTGGTATGCTACCGGAGTGCTTATTATTAGTGCTGGGCTCACTAGGTCAGATGGAACGACCTTACAACTTGTGAGTGGAATTGAAAATAAAGCCGACCCACGCCTACCCTGTTGATCGACTGTTGTACCGTTATTGTTTGAGTCTTGTGTTAGTGGCATGATTATGTTCAAGGATCTCGTTCTTTTACAATATGTATTCAACACAATGCATCAAAATATTGCTTACCTAACCAGGCTCGGTCCAATGAAACTTTGCACCACACAAAATGTTAAAATGTCACAATTGTTAGTTCTGTCCATCACTTCCTTGCACGTCACCCCACCACTGGGTCCAGGTGTAACCATCCGCTCGTCTCTCCCAACGCCCCTCCATAGTGAGCCCGGAGTGGTCCATGGATGTGCAACCGTCTGCACCGTTCCGGATGTGCAAACGTCTGCACCGTTCCTCCCAACGACTGTAATCTCCCTCACAGTGGAAGTTCTCGTGCAACCACTGCACAGTCAACTCTCACTAGTTTGCACTGACTTGGCCTGGCGTATTCACCGTGTCGGCACTGACCATGTACCACTAAGGAGGGAATCTGTGCAACCGCTTCACACCGCCACTTCGCTTGTGCAACCGCTGCACAACTTCACTTCACTCATGAAACCGCTTCACTCCGTCTCTTCACTTGTGCAACCGCTGCATACCGTCACCTGACAATGCTTTTTGGCAGTCGTCAGGGAAGATCGTACCCCGCATCTCCACCACGTATCCAAGGTAATTTTAAAACGCCTTAATTACCGGCGGTAATTGTCGTTAATTACCAGGGTATAGCCAGTCGCGTACCTCTTCACCTGAACTACGGTAATCCCCTCGTTCTTTGGTGCTGACTGTCTGGGATGAGCGAGAGGTACAATGTCAGTACCCGAGGGCCTTGGACCTATTACTGTAGTTCCTCCAACAAGCACAAAGAGTGATCTTCGTTTAACAGCTTTTATTCCAACTTTGTGTTGCCGGTCAACCCACTCTAATTGTCACTTAATTATGAGACTTCGGCCGCAAAGCTTCAGTCTCAGTCGAAATGCTGGTGCCTAGGTTTGGTTTCTGGTTCGAAAGATCATGACAACAAGCCGAGAGCGGAGCACCAGTCCAGATGTAGTCTCCCCAGCCGCAGCCGCTACCTAGCCGCTCTCTAGCCGTTCTCTATTCGTTCTTAGCCGTTCTCTCTTCGTTCTTAGCCGTTCTCTCGATTTGGGGCTTTTGCCCCTTTTTAAACCGGTACCTACGTCACAGCTCTACTCATTTTTCCATCTATCATTGGTCAGCCACCTTTTCCCCCTACACTAGATCATTCTAACCCACTCTTATCTAATAACCAGCACCTTATTCGGACTTGCCATGATGTAGCTTCTCACCCTTTTGGAATTCGAACTATTCCCCCCCAATACCATATATGTCTCAAGACCCTGACGTTTCCGTCCCTCTCATCTCTGTTCCACTTGTTTTTCATTTATGTATAGCCCTCGACCTACTACCCTCACCCCTGGTTACTCGTGGCCAAGTATGCTCCCGTAGTCTTCAACTATCAGAGCTGCCCGTCTCCTATATATATATCAATGTGTTATGTTTACATCTTACTGGTTTCAACTCCTCTTCTTGACCTTTATATACAATCACGGAGGTGTCCTAATGAATTGTTAATTACTTTAATTAGTTGTTAATTACTGTACTTTTATGCCTATAATACATGCGCGTCACTCTGTACCTGTTACAATATGTTTTAGTTTCAGAAACTATACTCCTTTTCGGTCCTGTGAAATATTATTTATAATACTGATCTAGTCCAGGCGAGGGGTTACATTCTTATATGTTACAAGGTGACCCTTAAGGACATACGTAAGTGTGTTTTACTAACTGCCCGTATCTTTAGACGTTTTTTCCGATTATAACAAGTTTTCAGCTACATGTTTCAGCCAAAACACTATTATGATGATGATATATAACATGTATAATTCCCAACTATATAGAATTACTGCAAATCACATTTCTCCAAATCTATCTAATATCCTACGTGGTCTCGTAGATAGAGCGTATGTCCAACGTTTGTATAACGTGATGTTTTTAGCTGTGTATAAGAGGAAATGTTTCCTATTGCAACAAGACTAATACATTTTTTTAAAAGCAACAAGTTAAATAGCCACACACGTAAGGAATGGATGGTATGTCTCTGGTATATGAAATATTCCACACAAAACCCTTCTTAGTAAGTATCACTTCATTTAAACCTTGTAAAGAGGAAAATTGGAAATGATTCAGAACGTTTCATTTCGAGTGAGTGAGGTTTGTTTGAGGGCGCTTAGAACAGACTGTGAGTTATATCACGGCGTGTCAGCTGCATGTGGGTGGTTTCGATGTTTAACACATGAGGTGAAATCCACAAGAACGGGCCGGGTGCCGCAAACCTAGAAACATAATCACAGCAAATCTGTGATTCGAGCCCACGATCATAGGTTCCTGTCACACCTAAGGGACGCAACTCTACACATCTAGTTCAGCCTCTTAATCACGTCTGATTACCGTTTTGTGTTTAATACCTGTCAGCGTTGTCTTCCCTCAAAGAACGTATTATTTGCTAATTCTCGGAAAGTGAGTCCAGCTTCTTTCACATAAAGTACATTTGTTATGGCACTGGTTGTTGAGCTGTTAAGAATATCCGCGACCAACGTTCACTTGCTTAACGGTGTGTTTCATGATTTATTACACTTCCAGGTAACAACCTTTGCAGCTTTCGCGAATTGTGTTTGTCACCAAGACTGGGACTGTATTGTATTATTGCTGCCAGGTTTCATCTGGACTGCTCTGATGGTTGTGCAAGAGTATACAGGCATACAGGAGAATGTTGTAGCGACGCTTGCTTTACTCAAAGTGGTCAGTTTGGGGGTGGAAGTGTAATGGCATGGGGTTACAACACAACACAACACAACACAACACAACACAACACAACATAACACAACACAACACAACACAATTCAACACAACACAACACAACTCAAGACAACACAACACAACACAACTCAACACAACACAACACAACTCAGCACAACACAACACAACACAACACAACTCAGCACAACACAACACAACACAACACAACACAGCACAACTCAGCACAACACAACACAACACAACACAACACAACTCAGCACAACACAGCCTTGTTAATGACAATTTGAAAGGCTCACGCTGTGTGTTCGTTTCTATTATCGGACGAAGTAAGAGTCGCAACTTGGCTCAGCAAATTACAAATGTTTCATTCTTCACCTTCCACTTACAAATAGTGGTCTGAACAGCGACACTGTACCCGACTCGTTAACATAGGAGGAGAAATAGAAAAGACCCAGGTCCAGTTTACCGTCTGGTGCTGCCTGCAATGATATTGCTGTAATATAGCTAAAACGGCGTACATCATACTCACTCACACACTCTGTAGTGTGAAGAGTTAATGCTTGTAAAAACCATCCGATACAGACAAGTAGTGAAGTGAGGTGAGGTGAGGTGAGGTGAGGTGAGGTGAGGTGAGGTGAGGTGAAATTGGGTTCCACGTTGCAGTCAAAATTATTGCACTTCTTTAGTAACCGTGCATGCATGTGTGTGTGTGTTTTGTTGGTTGTTCTTGTACAGAATCATTTTGGTTTTATAGTGCTAGCCAAATGAGATACCATACCACCGACCTTCCGACCTTCCTCTCTCTCTCTCTCTCTCTCTCTCTCTCTCTCTCTCTCTCTCTCTCTCTATCTCTCTCTCTTATTGAAATAAGCAACACCAGTTCACCAGGATATATCTATCACTTTGATGAGACACCGCCATGCTTGAAGTTGACGGACACAATGTCGGAAACCGTATCACATCGGATTTGCTGTTGAGTTGGTCACGTGAATTGATTTGCAGGTGGCCAAAGGTAAATTATCTCAATTCGGGGTCACACCATTTATTATTATCAATATGATGGTGAAAAAAACAAAAACGAAAAGAGGTGTTTAATGTTGGATATCATAACCTAAACTATGCGCCTAGATAAAAACAAATTAAAAAATATAATTTGTTTCCATATAATCCTATCCAACAAAATCTACGTAGTTGTGAGACGAATATATATATCTTAACAAACCAATGTTCTCAACATGTGCGCAAGTTGGTGGGAAGGCAAGGTCACCGACCAATCACCGTTTTCACCAGTTCACTTTCCAAATAGGAATTATACATAGTACATGTATTTGAGGTAAATATCTCATCGAAAGACAAAGGACGTTACGACAAAGGTGTGGTATGTTGATGGCATAGATTGGGATAGATTCATAGAATACGTGCTTATACTCTGATACATGCAGATAGCGCCATCACAAAATCACGTTGTCGAAGCAACGTCACGTGACACACACGAGGAAAGCAACCAGGAAGTGAGACGCGGGCAGACAGTTAATTCACAGCGGAGCAGTTATTGAGGTATGTGACGCATTTTATACAGCAGTGTACATACATACAGATGACTTTTTGTAATAGTACCTTGTTGTGGTGTAGCAGATATGTCGTTTGTTTATGTAAAGGGGTTTGTTGCTTTTATTTACCAACATATGTATGTATAATGTGCACATGTAGTCAAACAACGACTGCCATTTCACTTTAATACAGAAAGTAGACTAGGTATTCCCTGTCTGATTCAAATAGGATTGCATCTGGATATTTCTGTATAAGGCGGCTAGCAGCTGAAATCTCATCGCTGGAAAAGGCTACCCACTCTCGGTACCTTGCTGCTAAGTATTAGTGGAATCAGCATTAATTAACATGGAGCTTGGCAGACAAGGACACTCGATCAAGGCTTCATGAAGATAAACAGATATTTCACCAGGGTTATGTCCCTTTGAACAACGAGCGTGATCGGCTTGTGTCGCCGACTTGACCTGGGCTCGTGGCGAGCGTAGTGGTGGTGTCTGTGTGTGTGATTGCATGAGTGTTGGTGTGCGTGTGCGTGTGCGTGTGCGTGTGCGTGTGTGTGATTTAGCAGGAAGATAGCTATCGTGAATTTCACTTTCTGAATACGTTATATATCACATACTTGTAAGCACACGGTTGGCGCTCAATATTCACTACTTACATTGTAAACGCCCGAAACGTTTCCGTTATGATTTTAGGAGCAGCTGCCCCCATTTATGAGGTAACAATAAAGGTGGGAATGATACACTATATAGCCATCAGGAAACTGTATGTAATAATAGTCCATATACACATATAGGTTAAACGGAAGTGACACGATTAACATAATTAAGTTAAAAGTGCATATAGCAGAACTGTTTCCATACAGCCCCGATGATGCTGGCTGTTTTCAAGTAGAACACACCTTTTGTTAAAATGTATGTCATGAAAAGGTGAACCGAATACCACAAAACAGACCAGTGAGTTCATATGCATTTCATTAACCTGTGTACAGTTTGCCGAATCAGAGATCTGGGACATTCGAGTGAGTGAGTGAGTGAGTGAGTGAGTGAGTGAGTGAGTGAGTGAGTGAGTGTGTTGTGGTACGGCACTGACAACAACATTCAAGTATATACAAAACTTCACAAGGAACCAGCTATTTTCAAATCATACAAAACTAAACACACAAACTGCATGCTTTAGTCTCATAATGTATTCCAGTACCATATTGTACGGTCTTTGATAATTATATGTAGTCATTACGTTTTATTATATGTACATTTACGTTGTATGTCAGATAAATGCAGGAAACTACAGATACAAGAGTTATCTCCCTTCCCACTCACCGTCACTGAAGACTTTGCCCCAGTCCTGAGTGTGGCGAGGTGTCTTCTGTTGTCTGTAATATTAATTCTAAATACGCATGTCGTATTAAGATGTTACATCATTGGATGTAGGTGTGGGTACATTCTCTCACATGTTCTATGAAGGCAAATCAGTGTTTGTTTCAGACCCTATCTTTTCTTCAGATACAATATACGCATCTATATTTCTTTAAGCCATATGTTATACTTCAGATGGCGACCGCTAAGAAACTAACAGACCACCACCTCACCTGTGTTATCTGTACTGAGGTGTTCACAGACCCAGCCACACTTCAGTGTAATCATACATTCTGTAAGTCCTGTCTGCTGAAATACACCAAGACACAGCCGGAAGCAGTACAAGCCAAGTCCATCCCATGTCCCTCCTGTAGACAACTAACGAAGGTGACCACCCCTGACAGTCCAGTAGAGGAGTGGGTCAGTCAGCTGAAACCAAGCCACGTCATACAGGGACTGATGGACGACTTTGGACCAGGGGCAGAAGGTAACTGATTGAAAGTATATGTTCAATAAGTATAACCACATACTTAACAAGAGATTATGAGGTTTAATCCAATTGCAAAACTGAATTGCATTCTGTTGCATATTTAAGAAATAAACGACTCGTGGTCCTTGTTAATCGTACAATAAAATACTGCAGGGAGAATAAACCATGAGTCGCTTATTTTTTATTTCGTATGTGAGATACCATTTTATACATCCTTTGATGTCAATAAATTGTTCAAGTTTTAAAAACATTTACCCGTATGTAAATAATCATGACTCCCTGAATTCAATTCGACCTCTTAAATGTCGGACAACTACAGTTTATGTCGAGGGAAGTTAAGTTTGGTATTTCCACAATACTGACGTCGATTATCTGCTCCTTTCCTCCAAGTACTGATTGTCATATCTCGCCTACTTTTGGGTGCGATCGGTCGGCCATTGCGTTTATCTGCGCTCTCCAGCTACATCTATGGGGAACAACTTCCAACTAAAAAATAACGTTGTCCAAGTTACGACGTCATCAATTTTCGAGCGCCTGTTTAATGTTTGATCATTGTTCTCTACGATTTATCGCGTAGCTATCTTATATTTAACACTAATGAATTGATTCACATGAATATTTAATAATTAGATGTGATATTTTTATTCCGATAACCTTATAGTTTTCCTTTGAATATAATTATATATATGTACCTTAATCCAGAAAACACAGGTTGATATTTGTCATTACAGCTGCCGATGCAAATGTCTGCAGTGTTTGCAAAACACAAGGGAAGACAAGTCCTGCCACATCATGGTGCTCCGTCTGTGACGAGGTCTTCTGTGATGGATGTCTGAAGATGCACAACATCATGCCAATGTCACGTGACCATGAAGTTGTGGATGTGTTTGATGCTACCAAGAGAAAAGCTAGGCATCGCTTTATGTGTAAAACACACAAAGACAAACAGATAGAGTTGTTCTGTAAAGATTGTAAGATGGCCATTTGTCATACATGCTGCAGTATAAAACACAGGAAATGTGACGATGTTGATACCTTAGATAATATGACTCCTCTTGTTAGAGAACACCTGTCAAATCAAAACCAAGAACTGAAAATCAAAATGACAACTTCAGAAAATATAACCATCTTAAGGAAATCTCAAATCAAAGAAATTCAGACAAATGCGCAAAATATTAAAGATGAAATCAGAAATATACGTCAGAGAGTAGTAGAAGTGATTTTGAGCAAGGAAAAACAACTCTTTGATCAAGTCGACCGATCTTCCGATGAACAATTACATGCATTACAAGCAGAAATAAAATCCCAGGAGATCGAGCTACAGATGTACCAGCAGCAGTATGAGTTCACAGCCAATGCTGTGACGTCCAACTGTGAGCGGGACATGTATGCTGTCTATGAGTCGGTGGGTGAGGCGTCTACAGACAACAGAGACACGGGCAACAGACCAGCGCAAGAAAGGGTTGTATTCACACACGACACGGACAACAGACCAGCGCCAGAAAGGGTTGTATTCACACACGACACGGACAATAGACCAGCGCCAGGAAGGGTTGTATTCACACACGACATGGACAAGCTGAGTAAAGCAGTCGATGACCTACAGCTGGGGGAGGTTGCAGTTGTCCGTGGTGTGAGTGACCGCCAGTCTACCCCTGTTCTACATAACACTTTTGACTGTGTGGCGGACGGGGATAAGAAGGATACTGATTTGTTTGACCTCACAGTGTTGACTGTTGATGGTTTAACTGTAACAGTAGTTGCAGATTACTTTAACAGTAGCCTCAAAACATATCACACATCAGACCTAAACACGCTTGGCAATCTACTGCTTTCTAATGGGCCTTGGCAAGTAGCAAAGTTAAGTGAGAGTCAGGTAGCTGTCAGTGTTCCATTGAGTAAGGAAATAGTTACAGTGAATGTTACCCCAGATCCCGTATTGCTGTCAACAATCAAGACAAGCAAGACGTACTACGCTCTGTCCTCTCTGAGTCCTTCACAGCTGGCGGCGAGTACATATTACCAGCCTCACTCTGTGGACATACTGGACATGAGAGGGAGGATACTGAAGTCTATCAACACAGGTGTCTTAAGGAATCCAGACTATATCCATGTCACCAGTAATAACAACTTAATAGTCAGTGAAAGACGAGTTAACTCCCTTGTATGTGTGACCAGTGAAGGAGTCGCTGTTTTCACCTACACTCCCGCAGCAGTCAGAGCTCTGACATGTCCTTGGGGTATCACAACAACCAGCACACGAGATATCCTGCTTGTAGACTATAACTCCCACAAGGTGATTCAGCTGACAGAGTCGGGGCAGTATGTCAGAGATGTACTCACACATCAGGATGGTCTGAAATATCCCCGTGGTATCTGTCTTGATGGGGACGGGTTTCTGTATGTTACATGTGGCCGATGTGTCCGCGTATTTAAATTTAAAAACTGTGAAGTGAGACATGTCTACATATGTACATAGTTAAGACCATGAGACAATTCCTCCTTTACGGCAATTTCCGATCTTGTTCATTGCTTTCAACAGTAATTCACATAGTTAAGATATTACATCCACTATTGGAACGGAATGTCACAGAGAGAAGGCCTATCTCATGGCAGTACCTGAGTCCGCTCACCTAAAACAGGTGATGTTATTTACTGTTGTATAGTATATGTTTGAGGTGTGTAGTTGGTCAGTCCCCTGGCTTCTTAAAATATTTAATCTTGATTGAATCCCTTCGTGTGTGCTGATACATGTGTTAGTCGTTGCTCTAATGTTTTATTTGACCTTCTCGTCAGTAATGTCGAGCAATTCATAACGTAAGCGTAGTACCAGGAAACTGTGATGTTTATGTTTGATCACATGAAATATATAATACTTAACAATACTATGTCTACTACAGCAACTTGTCACGGTTCCCTGAGAGTTTGAAATTATTTTCTTACCGCTTTCGAATCGTCATAGGGGAGTTAATAAGTAGCGGATGCCTTCAGAACTGTTGAAGTACTATTAAGTTCGATCACTATTATCGACAGATTCTAAATAATATGACGGACGCGCTAGTGATTGAAGTGGCCGTAAAAGATCACAATACCAACACTGATCAACCATAAAAAATTCCAGCAGGGAAAACATGTTACATTACTTTTCTAAAAGTTTCCGCGCCGTTTCAGTTTGATTTATGTTCAAGGTAGACGGAGCTTTATAGCATTATAGGCAATACACGTAGTAAAACCATATATTGATAAGGGGTTGCCGAGATATGTACTGCCGATATTTTCAAACAATTCAGTTACAAAATTAGTTAATAGAATACATCACTGAACATCTTTAAACTTATTATTGCACTTTTGAGCTAAGGAACGTTACTGAGGAATTACACATTGTGACACTTGGTCTGTGAGTTCTCTATCGCAGTCATTAAAGTCCACGTCGTGTCCCACTTTGGGCTTTCTTCCCATAAAGCTGACACATGGTGACATAACCGAAATACTCTTCAAAGTAGCGTTCTACTCTTCAAAGTAGCTTTAACACTCAACCTAGTATGCAATTTATTAACATTGCAAAGTTTTCACAATGTTTCGACATGTTGGTAAACAGTTGTCAGGATTCCTATTTGTCTAGATCCTTGTCTCAGTAACAGGTACAACTCCTAATACTACAGCAACTAAACATATATCTTCTCAACTTGTTTGTTCTCCTTTATTTAGCACTAAGACCCCATTGGGATTCAGGTTACAGAGGCCCCCAGCAATCTGTGTATGTAGTAAGAGACGATTTAATGGATCGTGTGGTCGGGCTCGATGACTTAGATCATTGTGTATCACCGTGCTCGTCGATAGTTGTTATAATATCAATCACCAGATAGTCTGGTTCCGACTCGTACATGTCGACTCTATATAGCCGGAATATTGCTTGATACGGCCTTGAACAGCAAAAAACAACCATGGAGGAATTTTATCACGAAAATGAGTTAAATGGTGATGATTTGAAGTTTTCTAATGTTTGTAATTAGTTACACTCACATGTAGTTTTGTCCCGCGTGTGCATGTTCATGTGTATTGTAGGGTTTATTGTAGGGTTTATTGTAGGATGTATTGTAGGGTTTATTGTGGGATTTGTATCATGACTGTTGGGATACATAAAAATAAACGTTTCTCATCCTATTTGTTTCTCAAGTGAGGAGGGAGCTTGGACTTTTTTAACATTGAAAAATGTCATCATGAAGGATTCTTGTTTTCTGTCCATCAAGCATACCCACGTGGGCATATGAACTGATTTGAGCTTGGCACATAGACCAAGAATGTGCTTCCTACATTGTGTCACATCACGACAATGAATCCATGTCGGGATTCGAACCCGGGTCTTCTGTGAGACTTGTGAAGCTTTGGCCATTATAATCCTCCAAATCGGGGTAGAAGTTTTAGCTGTGTATAAGAGGAAATGTTTCCTACTGCAACAAGACTAATAAAAAAAATTAAATGCGTTTAAAAAAAAGCAACAAGTTACATAGCCACACACGTAAGGATTGGATGGTATGTCTCTGGTATGTGAAATATTCCACACAAAACCCTCCTTAGTAAGTATCACTTCATTTAAACCTTGTAAAGAGGAAAATTGGAAATTATTCAGAACGTTTCATCTCGAGTGAGGGAGTGAGGTTTGTTTGAGGGCGCTTTGAACAGAATGTGAGTTATATCAAGGCGTGTCAGCTGCATGTGGGTGGTTTCGATGTTTAACACATGAGTCGAAATTCACAAGAACGGGCCGGGTGCTGACAAACCTAGAAACGTAATCACAGCAAATCTGTGATTCGAGCCCACGATCATAGGTTCCTGTCACACCTAAGGGACGCAACTCTACACATCGAGATGCAACCTCTTATTCACTTATGTAAATGACCTCACGTCTGATCATTTCTCTTATGTACGAACATCCACGCGCACAGATGACTCAATAAACCACCATTACCCTTTTGTGTTTAACACCTGTCAGCGTTGTCTTCCCTCAAAGAACGTATTATTTGCTAATTCTCAGAAAGTGAGTCCAAAGTACATTTGTTATGGCACTGGTAGTTGAGCTGTTAAGAATATCCTACTCTCGTATATGGATCTCACAACACTCTCGAAACCAATCTGCCCTATTAGCTGCACAGCCACATATCACCGCAGCTAGCTCGACACACTGTATAATATAGATATAACCAATCCATGGGCTTCACATCCCAAAACCGCAACACCTATCAGGACTTAATCACTAATATAGAAATAATCCATGGGTTGCACAATCTCTTACCACTAGGTTGCACAATCCCTTACCACTAGGTTGCAAGATCCCTTACCACTGGGTTGCACAATCCCTTACCACTGGGTTGCACAATCCCTTACCACTGGGTTGCACAATCCCTTACCAATGGGTTGCTCAATCCCTTACCACTGGGTTGCACAATCCCTTACCACTAGGTTGGACAATCTCTTACCACTAGGTTGCACAATCCCTTACCACTGGGTTGCACAATCCCTTAACACTAGGTTGCACAATCCCTTACCACTGGGTTGCACAATCCCTTACCACTGGGTTGCACAATCCCTTACCACTGGGTTGCACAATCCCTTAACACTAGGTTGCACAATCCCTTACCACTGGGTTGCACAATCCCTTACCACTGGGTTGCACAATCCCTTACCACTAGGTTGCACAATCCCTTACCACTAGGTTGCAAGATCCCTGACCACTAGGTTGCACAATCCCTTACCACTGGGTTCCACAATCCCTTACCACTAGGTTGGACAATCCCTTACCACTAGGTTGCACAATCACTTACCAGTGGGTTGCAAAATCCCTTACCAGTGGTTTGCACATTCCCTTACCACTAGGTTGCACAATCCCTTACCACTGGGTTGCACAATCCCTTACCAGTGGGTTGCACAATCCCTTACCAGTGGGTTGCACAATCCCTTAACACTGGGTTGCACAATCCCTTACCACTGGGTTGCACAATCCCTTACCACTGGGTTGCACAATCCCTTACCACTGGGTTGCACAATCCCTTACCACTAGGTTGAAAAATCCCTTACCACTGGGTTGAAAAATCCCTTACCACTGGGTTGAAAAATCCCTTACCACTTGGTTGCACAATCCCTTACCACTTGGTTGAAAAATCCCTTACCACTGGGTTGCACAATCCCTTACCACTTGGTTGCACAATCCCTTACCACTGGGTTGCACAATCCCTTACCAGTGGGTTGCACAATCACTTACCAGTGGGTTGCACAATCCCTTACCAGTGGGTTGCAAAATCACTTACCACTGGGTTGCACAATCACTTACCACTGGGTTGCACAATCCCTTACCACTGGGTTGCACAATCCCTTACCACTGGGTTGCACAATCCCTTACCACTCGGTTGCACAATCCCTTACCACTGGGTTGCACAATCCCTTACCACTGGGTTGGACAATCCCTTATCACTGGGTTGCACAATCCCTTACCACTGGGTTGCACAATCCCTTATCACTGGGTTGCACAATTCCTTACCAGTGGGTTGCACAATCCCTTACAACTGGGTTGCACAATCCCTTACCACTGGGTTGCACAATCCCTTAACACTAGGTTGCACAATCCCTTACCACTGGGTTGCACAATCCCTTACCACTAGGTTGCACAATCCCTTACCACTAGGTTGCAAGATCCCTGACCACTGGGTTGCACAATCCCTTAAAACTGGGTTGCACAATCCCTTACCACTGGGTTGCACAATCCCTTACCACTAGGTTGGACAATCCCTTACCACTAGGTTGCACAATCACTTACCAGTGGGTTGCAAAATCCCTTACCAGTGGTTTGCACATTCCCTTACCACTAGGTTGCACAATCCCTTACCACTGGGTTGCACAATCCCTTACCAGTGGGTTGCACAATCCCTTACCAGTGGGTTGCACAATCCCTTAACACTGGGTTGCACAATCCCTTACCACTGGGTTGCACAATCCCTTACCACTGGGTTGCACAATCCCTTACCACTGGGTTGCACAATCCCTTACCACTAGGTTGAAAAATCCCTTACCACTGGGTTGAAAAATCCCTTACCACTGCGTTGAAAAATCCCTTACCACTTGGTTGCACAATCCCTTTCCACTAGGTTGCACAATCCCTTACCACTAGGTTGAAAAATCCCTTACCACTAGTTTGAAAAATCCCTTACCACTAGGTTGAAAAATCCCTTACCACTGGGTTCCACAATCCCTTACCACTTGGTTGAAAAATCCCTTACCACTGGGTTGCACAATCCCTTACCACTTGGTTGCACAATCCCTTACCACTGGGTTGCACAATCCCTTACCAGTGGGTTGCACAATCACTTACCAGTGGGTTGCACAATCCCTTACCAGTGGGTTGCAAAATCACTTACCACTGGGTTGCACAATCACTTACCACTGGGTTGCACAATCCCTTACCACTGGGTTGCACAATCCCTTACCACTGGGTTGCACAATCCCTTACCACTCGGTTGCACAATCCCTTACCACTGGGTTGCACAATCCCTTACCACTGGGTTGGACAATCCCTTATCACTGGGTTGCACAATCCCTTACCACTGGGTTGCACAATCCCTTATCACTGGGTTGCACAATTCCTTACCAGTGGGTTGCACAATCCCTTACCACTGGGTTGCACAATCCCTTACCACTGGGTTGCACAATCCCTTAACACTAGGTTGCACAATCCCTTACCACTGGGTTGCACAATCCCTTACCACTGGGTTGCACAATCCCTTACCACTGGGTTCCACAATCCCTTACCACTGGGTTGCACAATCCCTTACCACTGGGTTGCACAATCCCTTACCACTGGGTTCCACAATCCCTTACCACTGGGTTGCACAATCCCTTACTTCTAGGTTGCACAATCCCTTACCACTGGGTTGCACAATCCCTTACCACTGGGTTGCACAATCCCTTTCCACTGGGTTGCACAATCCCTTACCACTACACCTGTCTCCACACTCTCAAATATGAGGATCATACACACGATGCAGAACACTATACTACTTTACCAGTCTTGAAATACTATCCAGTATGAAAATATTCCATAAGTAGCACAACCCTATACACATACACGTATCTCAAAATACATGGGTCCTTCTTCACTCACCTACATCTACGCCCACCTCGAAATACTATCTGGTGTAAATCAATCCAAAGGTTGCACAACCCTTTACCTCTACATGTATTTCAAAATACTCTCCGACCCAAGCTGTCATGTAGCCCACGGTCAACCACACACCTATCCGTGTATCTCTCTGTCCAATACTCTCTAACCAACAGCGGCCTAGAAGTTGTGCAGCCTTTATGTAGCTTACAATTGGTTACAAGTTTAGATAAATGATGGGCAGTAGGGAACATATATTACTTAAAGGAACACCTACAATGCCCCGAAGTTGACCTAGAAAGTATCTATCACTTTGATTAGAGACGATCATGTTTGATGTCGTACAAATTGTCAGTATCCGTATTGGATTGCATTATTTGATTAGTTATGTGAAGTTATTGACGAGTGAGGAGAGGTTTATTTGGTTGTTGCTTGACGCACGAAGCAATATCCAGCTACGTGATACCTGCCTTTAAGTAAGGTGTCTGGACAAGACTGATATTGTGAACAACGATTCAGCCGTCGTGGTAAGCTGACACTATCATCCCATTACTGAGTCTGACGACACTATCCATTGGTCGGCCCTTACGGCCAACAGTTAGATCGCTGGGACCTGTTCTAATCCGGAATCCCCAAGGGACAGAGGTTAATTAACTCAATGCGGGGTAACATAGTTCAGGAGAATAAACACGATGTTGAACCAAAGCTTTAACCGTGACCAATGTAACAGACGTCTTCCCGTAAGCATAAAATGACCAACGATGGGAAACAATTGACTGTCATTTATGGACCTACTCTTTAACCGGACTAATACATCACATGAATTCATCCGGGCTAGAAAAGGTCTTTAGCAACCCATGCTTGCCGTAAAAAGCGACTATGCTTGTCGCAAGAGGCGGTTGATGCATGTCATCGATCCCAATTGCATGGATCGATGCTCATGATATTAATCACTGGATTGTCTGGTCCAGACTCGATTATTTACAGATCGCCGTCATATAGCTGGAATATTGCTGAATGCGGCGTTAAACAACAAACCAACCAACGAACTAGAGGAATTCAGCTCACGAAATACACACTATTCCTATTTTTCTTTAAGACGGTTGCAGTAGATTACAAAACAAGTTTGCAATGTGACGCTGATGAAAGATATGACACAGCAGGGCACCCTGCACACAGGGTGTACATGTAGACTATAAGCTGATACAGATGCATGTCTATGCGTGTCACTCTGTACCTGTTACAATATGTTTTAGTTTCAGAAACTATACTCCTTTTCGGTCCTGTGGAATATTATTTATAATACTGATCTAGTCCAGGCGAGGGGTTACATTCTTAAATATGTTACAAGGTGACCCTTAAGAACATACGTAAGTGTGTTTTACTCACTGCCCGTATCTTTAGACGTTTTTTTCAGATTATAACAAGTTTTCAGCTACATGCTTCAGCCAAAACACTATGATGATGATGATATATAACATGTATAATTCCCAACTATATAGAATAACTGCAAATCGCAATATCTCAAAATCTATCTGATCTCCTACGTGGTCTCGTAGATAGAGCGTCTATACAACGTTTGTACAACGTGATGTTTTTAGCTGTGTATAAGAGGAAAGACATTTTTTTAAATGCGTTTAAAAAAAGCAAGAAGTTAAATAGCCACACACGTAAGGAATCGATGGTATGTCTCTGGTATATGAAATATTCTACACAAAACCCTCCTTAGTAAGTGCCACTTCCTTTACACCTTGTAAAGAGGAATATTGGAAATGATTCAGAACGTTTCATCTCGAGTGAGTGAGGTTTGTTTGAGGGCGCTTTGAACAGACTGTGAGTTATATCACGGCGTGTCAGCTGCATGTGGGTGGTTTCGATGTGTAACACATGAGGTGAAATTCACAAGAACGGGCCGGGTGCTGACAAACCTAGAAACTGATCACAGCAAATCTGGGATTCGAGCCCACGATCATAGGTTCCTGTCACACCTAAGGGACGCAACTCTACACATCGAGATGCAGCCTCTTATTCACTTATGTAAATGACCTCACGTCTGATAATTTTTCTTATGTACGAACATCCACGCGCACAGATGACTCAATAAAACACCATTACCGTTTTGTGTTTAATACCTGTCAGCGTTGTCTTCCCTCAAAGAACGTATTATTTGCTAATTCTCGGAAAGTGAGTCCAGCTTCTTTCACATAAACTACATTTGTTATGGCACTGGTAGTTGAGCTTTTACGAATATCCGCGACCAACGTTCACTTGCTTGACGGTGTGTTTCATGATTTATTACACTTCCAGGTAACAACCTTTGCAGCTTTGGCGAATGGTTTTTGTCGAGTGTACACTGAAACTGTAAAATATGATTTAATATATTCTGACGAAAAAGATAACTGTGCTTCATATAAAGTTCAATAAAAATAAATTCATTCTGAAATTAAATAATGCATCTTTCAATACAGATTCATGAAGACATCTCCTCGACTTGACGGTCTTGGTTCACAATTTGCACGTTCATGTTCAATCACACCACACATGTTTGCTTGTTTGTTGAACAGGTGGTTTGTGAATGTGAACAGCATACAATGACTGTTCAGCTATCAGGTTCTCATAAAACACGTTTGTTTAACCCCCAAAACGGTTAGCAATGCTGAAAGTCGACGTCTACGCGTCGTTGGTATGCTTCAAACAGGGATGGCGCAAAGCAAAGTTGTCAGACATGTTCACCGAAAGACAATATCATCTCTTAAACGGGCAACACTCGTGATCATGATTTACCACGGGCCGGTCATCCACGTGTGACGCCACGTCAACAAGACAACCAAACTAGCACGTCCAAAGCTTGAGCAATTCCTAGGTTGAGAGCAATTAGTAGCAGAGCCGTACGCAACAGGTTGAGGGATCACAACATCCGGCCCCGACGTCCAGTGATACGCCCAAGTTTTCTCACAAGGGTGAGCCTAGCTGGGGGTGTACACGGCATCTGAGGCTTAGACACCAAGACTGGGACTATATAGTAATATTGCTGCCAGGTTTCATCTGGACTGCTCTGATGGTTGTATAAGAGTATACAGCCATACAGGAGAATGTTGTAGCGACGCTTGCTTTACTCAAAGTCGTCAGTTTGGGGGTGGAAGTGTAATGGCATGAGGTTACAACACAACTCAACCCAACTCAACACAACACAACACAACTCAACACAACACAAGACAACACAACACAACACAACACAACTCAGCACAACACAACATAACTCAACACAACACAACTCAAGACAACACAACACAACACAACTCAGCACAACACAACATAACTCAACACAACACAACTCAGCACAACACAAAACAACACAACTCAACACGACAAAACACAACTCAGCACAACACAACCTTGTTAATGACAATTTGAAAGGCTCACGCTGTGTGTTCGTTTCTATTATCTGACGAAGTTAGAGTCGATACTTGGCTCAGCAAATTACAGATGTTTCATCCTTCACCTTCCACTTACAAATAGTGGTCTGAACAGCGACACTGTACCCGACTCGTTTATAGAGGGATAGAAAGAGAAAAGATCCAGGTCCAGTTTACAGTCTGGTGCTGCCTGCAATGATATTGTTGTCATATAGCTGAAACGGCGTACATCATACTCACTCACACACTCTGCAGCGTGAAGAGTTAATGCTTGTAATAACCATCCGATACAGACAAGTAGTGAGGTGAGGTGAAGTGAGGTGAGGTGAGGTGAGGTGAGGTGAGGTGAGGTGAGGTGAGGTGAGGTGAGGTGAGGTGAGGTGAAATTGGGTTTTGAAACTTGTTCTTGTCCAGACTCATGCTGGTTTTATAGTGCTAGCCCAATGGGATACCATACAACCGACCTTACGCTCTCTCTCTCTCTCTCTCTCTCTCTCTCTCTCTCTCTCTCTCTCTTATTTATCTTCCATCTTTTACATGTTCTAATGGGTCATACGTTTAGATAAATGAGGGGCAATTGAGGATATATTTTACTTAAATAAGCAATACCAGTTCACCAGAATATATCTATCACTTTGATAAGAGACCGCCATGCTTGAAGTTGACGGACACAGTCTCGGAATCCGTATCACATCGGACTTGCTGTTTAGTTGGTCACGTGAATTGATTGGCAGGTGGCCAAAGGTTACTTATCTCAATTCGGGGTCAAACCATTTATTATAATAAATATGATGGTGAAAAAAACAAAACGAAAAGAGGTGTCTAATGTTGGATATCATAACTTAAACTATGGGCCTAGATAAAAACAAATTAAAAAATATAATTTGTCTCCATAAAATCCTAACCAACAAAATCTACGTAGTTGTGAGACTAATATATATATATATCTTAACAAACCAATGTTCTCAACATGTGCGCAAGATGGTGGGAAGGCAAGGTCACCGACCCATCACCGTTTTCACCAGTTCACTTTCCAAATAGGAATTATACAAAGTACATTTATTTGAGGTAAATATCTCATCGAAAGACAAAGGACGTTACGACAAAGGTGTGGTATGTTGATTGCATTGATTGGGATAGATTCATAAAATACGTGCTTGTACTTTGATACATGCAGATAACGCCATCACGAAATCACGTTGTCGAAGCAACGTCACGTGACACACACGAGGAAAGCAACCAGAAAGTGAGACGCGGGCAGAAAGACGATTCACTGCGGAGCAGGTATTGAGGGATGTGACGCATTTTATACAGCAGTGTACAGATGACTTTTTGTAATAGTACCTTGTTGTGGTGTAGCATATATTTCGTTTGTTTATGTAAAGGGGTCTGTTTCTTTTATTTACCATCAAATGTATGTGAGGTGAGGTGAAATGGGGTTTAACGTCGTGTCCAAGATTATTGCCCTTATATAGCGACGTGCATGTACGTGTATGTGTGTTTGTGTGGCTGATTGTACTAGTCCGGACCGATACCGATTTATAGTGCTAGCACACTGAGATACCATGCCGCAGTTTAATATGAATACCCCACTCAGACACAGTATACTGACTCCGAGCCGACCAGTCCTTGTTTTAGCCCCTTAATGCCGCGCGCCTGACAGGGTAACAACAAGTACCATCTTTTAAGGTCTTTTGGTATGACACGGCCGGGGATCTCAACCCCGGACCTTCCGCTCTCCGGGCGGACGCTCCACCACTAGACCACGGAGGCGGTCTCATATGTATGTATAATGTGTACATGTAGTTATACAACGACTGCCGTTTCACTTTAATACAGAAAATAGAGTTGGTATTCCCTGTCTGATTCAAATGGGATGGCATCTGGATATTTCTGTGTAAGGCGGTTAGCAGCTGAAATATCATCGCTAGGAAAAGGCTACCCACTCTCGGTGTGATGCTACTAAGTATTAGTGTTATCAACATTGATTAACATGGAGCTAGACAGACTGAGACAGTCGATCAAGGCTTCGTGACGATAAACAGAGATTTTCCCCTTTGAACTACGAGCGATATCGGCTTGTGTCGCCCACTTGACCTGGGGGCGTGGCGAGCGTGGTGGTGGTGTCTGTGTGTGTGTGATTGCATGAGTGTGGGTGCGCGTGTGCGTGTGCGTGTGCGTGTGTGTGATTTAGTAGGAAGTTAGCTAGCGTGAATTTCCCTTTATGAATATATTATATATCACATACATGTACTTGTATACACACGTTTGGCGCTTAATATTCAATACTTGCATTTACCACCATTCAAGAGGTAACACTAAAGGTGGGAATGATACACTATATTACCATCACGAACCTGTATGTAACAATAGTCCATATGCATATGGAGGCTAAACAGAAGCGACGCGATTAACAGAATTAAGTTAAAAGTGAATATAGCAGAACTGTTTCCACACAGCTCCGATGCTGCTGGCTGTTTTCAAGTAGAACAGGCCTTTTGTTAAAATGTATATCATGAAAAGGTGAACCAAATACCGCAAACAGACCAGTGTGTTCATATACATCTCATTAACCTGTGTACAGTTTGCCGAATCAGTGAGAGAGTGAGTGAGTGAGTGAGTGAGTGAGTGAGTGAGTGAGTGAGATAGCTTTGGTACGGCACTGTTAGCAACATTCAAGTATATACAAAACTTCCCAAGGAACTGGTTATTTTGAAACAGTACAAAACTATACACGCAAACTGCATGCCTTAGTCTCGTGGTGTATTCGCCAATTCAGCTTGTAAAGTCCAATAGACCTCGCTAGAAACATATGTTATTCAGAGTACTATAAGAAACCCAAACAAGCTTTTAAATGGCTTATTTTACACAAGAACATTATGCAAATTGAAAAATACCCACAACGGAAACGACACTCCGTCACACGTATGTTCTATGCACGCGCTTTATGATTAACATGATTGTTTGTAAAGCAATATCTATGTACATATTCTGGTAGCAGCTTCAACAACAGCATGTATTTCATTTATAATTATATGCAGTCATTACGTTTTATTATATGTACATTTACATTGTGTGTCAGATAAATGCAGGAAACTACAGATACAAGAGTTATCTCCCTTCCCACTGACCCTCACTGAAGACTTTGCCCCAGTCCTGAGTGTAGCGAGGTGTCTTCTGTTGTCTGTAATATTAATTCTAAATACGCATGTCCTATTAAGATGTTACATCATTGGATGTCGGTGTGGATACATGCTCTTACATGTTCTATGAAGGCAAATCAGTGTTGTTTGTTTCAGACCCTATCCTTTCTTCAGATACAATATACGCATCTATATTTCTTTAAGCCAGATGTTATACTTCAGATGGCGACCGCCAAGAAACTAACAGACAATCACCTGACCTGTGTCATCTGTACTGAGGTGTTCACAGACCCAGCCACACTTCAGTGTAATCATACATTCTGTAAGTCCTGTCTGCTGAAGTACACCAAGACACAGCCGGAAGCAGTACAAGCTAAGTCCATCCCATGTCCCTCCTGTAGACAACTAACGAAGGTGACCACCCCTGACAGTCCAGTAGAGGAGTGGGTCAGTCATCTGAAACCAAGCCACGTCATACAGGGACTGATGGACGACTTTAAACCAGGGGCAGAAGGTAACTTAGTGAAAGTATATGTTCAATAAGTATAACCACATATTTAACAAGAGATTACGAGGTTTAATCCAATTGCAAAACTGAATTACATTCTGTTGCATATTTAAGAAATAAACGACTCGTGGTCCTTGTTAATCTTTCAATAAAATACTGCAGGGAGAATAAACCATGAGTCGCTTATTTTTTATTTCGTATATGAGATACCATTTTGTACATGCTTTGATGTCAATAAATTGTTCAAGTTTTAAAAACATTTACCCGAATGTAAATAATCATGACTCCCTGAATTCAATCCGACCTCTTAAATGTCGGACAACTACAGTTTATGTCGAGGGAAGTTAAGTTTGGTATTCCCACAATACTGACGTCGATTTTCTGCTCCTTTCCTCCAAGTACTGATTGTCATATCTCGCCTACTTTTGGGTGCGATCGGTCGGCCATTGCGTTCATCTGCGCTCTCCAGCTACATCTATGGGGAACAACTTCCATCTAAAAAATAACGTTGTCCAAGTTACGACGTCATCAAGTTTCGAGCGCCTGTTTAATGTTTGATCATTGTTCTCTACGATTTATCGCGTAGCTATCTTATATTTAACACTAATGAATTGATAAACATGAATATTTAATAATTAGATGTGATATTTTTATTCCGATAGCCTTATAGTTTTCCTTTGAATATAATGATATATATGTACCTTTATGCAGAAAACACAGGTTGATATTTGTCATTACAGCTGCCGATGCAAATGTCTGCAGTGTTTGCAAAACACAAGGGAAGACAACTCCTGCAACATCATGGTGCTCCGTCTGTGACGAGGTCTTCTGTGATGGATGTCTGAAGATGCACAACATCATGCCAATGTCACGTGACCATGACGTTGTGGATGTGTCTGATGCTACCAAGAGAAAACCTAGGCATCGCTTTATGTGTAAAACACACAAAGACAAACAGATAGAGTTGTTCTGTAAAGATTGTAGGATAGCCATTTGTCATACATGCTGCAGTATAGAACACAGGAAATGTGACGATGTTGATACCTTAGATAATATGACTCCTCTTGTAAGAGAACACCTGTCAAATCAAAACTAAGAACTGAAAATCAAAATGACAACTTCAGAAAATATAACCATCTTAAGGAAATCTCAAATCAAAGAAATACAGACAAATGCGCAAAATATTAAAGATGAAATCAGAAATATACGTCAGAGAGTAGTAGAAGTGATTTTAAGAAAGGAAAAACAACTCCTTGATAAAGTCGACCGATCATCCGATGAACAATTACATGAATTACACGCAGAAATAAAATCCCAGGAGATTGAGCTACAGATGTACCAGCAGCAGTATGAGTTCACAGCCAATGCTGTGACGTCCAACTGTGAGAGGGACATGTATGCTGTCTACGAGTCGGTGGGTCAGGCGCCTACAGACAACAGACAGACGGGCAACAGACCAGCGCCAGGAAGGGTTGTATTCACACACGACATGGGCAACAGACCAGCACCAGGAAGGGTTGTATTCACACACGACACGGACAACAGACCAGCGCAAGGAAGGGTTGTATTCACACACGACACGGGCAACAGACCAGCACCAGGAAGGGTTGTATTCACACACGACACGGACAACAGACCAGCGCAAGGAAGGGTTGTATTCACACACGACATGGACAACAGACCAGCACCAGGAAGGGTTGTATTCACACACGACATGGACAACAGACCAGCGCAAGGAAGGGTTGTATTCACACACGACATGGACAAGCTGAGTAAAGCAGTGGATGACCTACAGCTGGGGGAGGTTGCAGCTGTCCGTTGTGTGAGTGACCGCCAGTCTACCCCTGTTTTACATCACAATATTGACTGTGTGGCGGACGGGGATAAGAAGGATACTCATTTGAATGACGTCACAGTGTTGACTGTTGATGGTTTAACTGTAACAGTAGTTGCAGATTACTATAACAAGAGCCTCAAAACATATCACACATCAGACCCAAACACGCTTGGTAATTTACTGCTTTCTGGTTGGCCTTGGCAAATAGCAAAGTTAAGTGAGAGTCAGATAGCTGTCAGTGTTCCAAACAATAAGGAAATAGTTACAGTGAATGTTACCCCAGATCCTGTATTACTGTCAACTATCAAAACAAGCAAGGAGTACTTCGCTCTGTCCTCTCTGAGCCCTTCACAGCTGGCGGCGGGTACATGTAGACAATCTCACTCTGTGGACATACTGGACATGACAGGGAGGATACTGAAGTCTATCAACACAGGTATCATAAGGAGTCCAGACTATATCCATGTCACCAGTAATGGTGACTTGAAAGTCAGTGGAGTTAACTCCCTTGTATGTGTGACCAGTGAAGGAGTCGCTGTTTCCACCTACACTCCCGCGGGAGTCAGAGCTTTGACATTTCCTCGGGGTATCACAACAACCAGCACAGGAGATATCCTGCTTGCAGACAAAGACTCCCACAAGGTGATTCAGCTGACAGAGTCGGGGCAGTTTGTCAGAGATGTACTCACACATCAGGATGGTCTGAAAGATCCCCGTGGTATCTGTCTTGATGGGGACAGGTTTCTGTATGTTACATGTGGCCGATTTGTCCGCATATTCAAATTTAAAAAAACCCTGTGAAGTGAGACATGTCTACATATGTACATGGTTAAGACCATGAGACAATTCCTCCTTTACGGCAATTTCCGATCTTGTTCATTGCTTTCAACAGTAATTCACATAGTTAAGATATTACATCCACTATTGGAATGGAATGTCACAAAGAGAAGGCCTATCTCATGGCAGTACCTGAGATCACGTGACCTGAGTCCGCTCACCTAGAACAGTGATGTCATTTTCTGTTGAATAATATATGTTTGAGGAGTGTAGTTGGTGAATCCCCATGCCTCTTAAAAATATTTAATTTTGATTGAATCATGTGTTAGTCGTTGCTCGAAAGTTTTATTTGAACTTCCCGACAGACATGTCCAGCAATTCATAACTTAATCGTAGTACCAAGAAACTATGATGTTTATGTTTGATCACATGACATATATATATATAATACTTAACACTACTATGTCTACTACATGAACTTATCACGGTTCCCTGAGAGTTTGACAGCTTTCGGTCTGTTATAGGAGAGATAATGAGTAGCGGATGCCTTCAGAACTGTTGAACTTCGATCACTATTATCGACAGATTCTAAATAATATGACGGACGCGCTAGCGATTGAAGTTGCCGTAAAAGATCACAATACCAACACTGATCAACCATTAAAAAAACTCCAGCAGGGAAAACATATTGTATTACTTTTCTAAAAGTTTCAGCACCGTTTCAGTTTGATTTATGTTCAAGGTAGACGGAGCTTTAACACACATTTAGAAACCTCCTCCCCAGTTCTGAGCATTATAGGCAATACACGTAGTGAAACCATATCTTGATAAGGGATTGCCGAAGTATGTATTGCCGATATATTCAAACAATTCATTTGCAAAATTAGTGATCAGAATACATCACTGAACATCAGTTAATAGCTTATTATTGCACTTTTGTGTCAAGGAACGTTACTGAGGAATTTCACATTGTGACACTTGGTCTGTGAGTTCTCTATCGCAGTCATTAAAGTCGACTTCTTGTCCCACTTTGGGCTTTCTTCCCTTAAAGATGACACATTGTGACAACCGAAATACTCAAAGTAGCGTTAATACTCAACCTAGTATGCAATTTATTAACATTGCAAAGTGTTTACAATGTTTCGACATTTTGGTAAACAGTTATCAGGATTCCTATTTGTTTAGATCCTCGTCTCAATAACAGGAACAACTCCGAATACTTCAGCAACTAAACATATATCTTCTCAACTTGTTTGTTCTCCTTCATTTAGCACTAAGACCCCATTGGGATTCAGGTTACAGAGGTCCCCAGCAATCTGTGTATGTAGTAAGAGACGATTTAATGGATCGTGTGGTCGGGCTCGATGACTTGGATCATTGTGTATCACCGTGCTCGTCGATAGTTGTTATATTATCAATCACCAGATAGTCTGGTTCCGACTCGTACAGGTCGACACCATAGAGACGGAATATTGCTTGATACGGCACTGAACGGGATAAAACAAGCATAGAGGAATTTTATCAAGAAAATGAGTTAAATGGTGATGATTTGAAGTTTTCTAATGTTTGTAATTAGTTACACTCACATGTAGTTTTGTCCCGCGTGTGCATGTCCATGTGTATTATAGGATGTATTGTAGTATATATTGTAGTATATATTGTAGTATTTATTGTGGGGTTTGTATCATGACTGTTAGGATGCATAAAAATAAACGTTTCTCAACATATTTGTTTCTGAAGTGAGGAGGGAGATAGGATTTTTTTCATATTGAAAAATGTCATCATGAAGGCTTCTTAGTTCCTGCGCATCAAGCATACCACATGGGCAAAAGAAATTGATTTGAGCTTGGCTCTTTAATGCAACGTCAAATGCCAATATGCAGAACATGATCTGCTTCATATCACGAGACATTTGACAAAAATATGTTTTCTGGCAAACTAAACACAAGGCCAAAAGCGTTTCTCTCTCTTTTTACCTCCCAGGGGTGGCCCAGTGGGATAACTGCGTCTCTTCGCAATTGGCTGTCGTGGGACGTTGCTCATGTTATCAACCATGGGTTTCTATTATCCTATTATAATCTATTATTTACGAGCGGTCGTTATGCAACAGACATACTGCTGATTGGGTATTAAACAGTCAATCGTACTTTGCAATTGAGGCGATTTCATGACTTTCCCATACCCATAAAAATGACAAATTAAACTGATGCCTCTTTGCGGATTAAAGCTGAGGGACTTAACGACAATTATTAAAAGTTGTAAAAGTCTTTATCGTTACCTTGATGTTTTCTGCGAAGCAAGACTTGTCAGTATTTAACCCACGGGTTACGTTATTGCCGGTAATAGGGCACTGATGGCCGAGTCGTGAAGAGAATGTCATGGTTCCTCACATGGGAGAAACAGACAGGATATTGCTGAACAATTGCTAAAATTCCCCTAAACCCCAACTCACTCACCCACTAACCCGTCATAAAGTGTACATGGTACATCCTTATTTGATCATATAATGAATGTACCGTCGGGATTCATTTTGTTAAGGAGTATGTTGGTTTTGGTTTTCATTTCGAAATAATTCGGCTATGTCAGCACAGAGACCAAGAATATTGTTGTCATATCATGACATTGAATACATGTTGGGATTCGAACCCGGGTCTTCTGTGTGACTAGAGACGCTTTGGCCATTATAATCTCCCAAATAGGCTTTGAATTTTTAGCTGTGGATAAGAGGAAATGTTTCATAGTGGAACAAGACTATTTTATACAGTTTTTACATGCATTTAAAAAAGCAACAAGTTACATAGCAACACACGCAAGGAATGGATGGTATGTCTCTGTTATATGAAATATTCCACACAAAACCCTCCTTAGTAAGTATCACTTCCTTTAAACCTTGTAAAGAGGAATATTGGAAATGATTCAGAACGTTTCATCTCGAGTGAGTGAGGTTTGTTTGAGGACGCTTTGAACAGACTGTGAGTTATATCACGGCGTGTCAGCTGCATGTGGGTGGTTTCGATGTTTAACACATGAGGTGAAACTCACAAGAACGGGCCGGGTGCTGACAAGCCTAGAAACATAATCACAGCAAATCTGGGATTCGAGCCCATGACCATAGATTCCTGTCACACATAAGGGACGCAACTCTACACATCGAGATGCAGCCTCTTATTCACTTATGTCTACGAACATCCACGCTGCACAGATGACTCAATAAACCACCATTACCCTTTTGTGTTCAACACCTGTCAGCGTTGTCTTCCCTCAAAGAACGTATTATTTGCTAATTCCGGAAAGTGAGTCCAGCTTCTTTCAAGAATATCCTACTCTCGTATATGGATCTCACAGCACTCTCAAAACCAATCTGACCTATGAGCTGCACAGCCACATACCACTGCAGCTAGCTCGACATACTGTATAATATAGATATAACCAATCCATGGGCTTCACATCTCCAAACATCCACACCTATCTGGGCTCTAATATAGAAATAATCCATGGGTTGCACAATCCCTTACCACTACACCTGTCTCCACACTCTCAAATATGAGGATCACCCACACGATGCAGAACACTATACCACTTGACCTGTCTTGAAATACTATCCAGTATGAAAATATTCCATAAGTAGCACAACCCTATACACATACAAGTATCTCAAAATACATGGGGCTTCCTTCAGTCACATACTTCTACGCCCACCTCGAAATACTATCTGGTGTAAAATCAATCCAAAGGTTGCCAACCCTTTACCTCTACATTATTTCAAAATACTCTCCGACCCAAGCTGTCCTGTTGCCCACGTTCAACCACACACCTGTCCTTGTATCTCTCTGTCCAATACTCTCTAACCAATTGCGGCCTAGAAGGTGGTTGTGCAGCGTTTATGTAGCTTACAATTGGTTACAAGTTTAGATAAATGATAGGGAAAATATATTACTTAAAAGAACACCTACAATGCCCCGAAGTTGACCTAGAAAGTATCTATCACTTTGATTAGAGACGATCATGTTTGATGTCGTACAAATTGTCAGTATCAGTATTCGATGGCATTGTTTGTTTAGTTATGTGAACTTATTGACGAGTGGGGAGAGGTTTATTTGTTTGTTACTGGATGCACGAAGCAATATCCAGCTACGTGATACCTGCCTTTAAGTAAAGTGTCTGGACAAGACTGATATTGTGAACAACGTTTCGGCCGTCGTGGTAAGCTGACACTATCATCCCATTACTGAGTATTGAAGACACTATCCATTGGTCGCCTCTTACGACCAACAGGTAGATTGCTGGGACCTGTTCTACTCCGGAATCCCAATGGGACAGAGGTTAATTAGCTCAATGCGGGGTAACATAGTTCAGGAGAATAAACACGATGTTGAACCAAAGCTTTTATCGTGATCAGTGTAACAGACGTAATCCCGTAACGATGGCCAACGATGGGAAACAATTGACTGTCATTTATGGACCTTCTCTTTAACCGGACTAATACATCAGATAAATTCATCCGGGGTAGAATAGGTCCTCAGCAACCCATGCTCGCCGTAAAAAGCGACTATGCTTGTCGTAAGAGGCGGTTGATGCATGTCATCGATCCAATTTGCGTGGATCGATGCTCATGATATTAATCACTGGATCGTCTGGTCCAGACTCGATTATTTACAGATCGCCATCATATAGCTGTAATATTGCTGTATGCGGCGTTAAACAACAAACTAACCAACTAGAGGAATTCAGCTTAAGAAATACGCACTATTCCTATTTTTCTTCAAGACGGTTGCATAAGAATACAAAACAAGTTTGCAATGTGACGCTTATGAAAGATATGACACAGCAGGGCACCCTGCACACAGGGTGTACATGTAGACTATAAGCTGATACAGATGCATGTCTATGCGTGTCACTCTGTACCTGTTACAATATGTTTTAGTTTCAGAAACTATACTCCTTTTCGGTCATGTGGAATATTATTTATAATACTGATCTAGTCCAGGCGAGGGGTTACATTCTTATATATGTTACAAGGTGACCCTTAAGGACATACGTAAGTGTGTTTTACTCGCTGCCCGTATCTTTAGACGTATTTCAGATTGCATGTTTTATCCAAAAAATGATGATAATGATGATGATATATAACATGTATAATTCCCAACTCTATCGAATAAATGGAAATCACATTTCTCAAAATCTATCTGATCTCCTACGTGGCCTAGTAGATAGAGCGTCTGTACAACGGAAAGTCGGTGGTTCGATCCCGGACGCGTTATTTGTTGTTTCCTTGCCTGGCAGTGGTTCTGGGTAACTTTGTGATACAAATGACAATGCCGCCATCTTTGGACTAGTTGAGTCAGAACAATTCCTTGACGTGAATGGTCTTTAAGTTATCTTTTCATGATCCAGATTTTCAATGACGGACTTGTACTTCCGGTACGGCAGGACAGGCTCTCTCGAACAGTGTGTAGTTTATGACTAAAGATTCTGAAACTCAGGTTCTGTCGCTTAAAGTTTGTTTGAATCTTGCATGACCATCATTTGTAACCCCGAAGTACACGTTACTTTCTCCACGATACTTTGTCATACCGCGGTGAGGCTGACGTATTGCCCAAAGCGGCTTGAGACCGATCCCGACTCTAGGGGCGGTCGGGTAGCCTAGTGGTTAAAGCATTCGCTCGTCACGCCGAAGACCCGGGTTCGATTCCCGACATGGGTGCAATGTGTGAAGCCCATTTCTGGTGTCCCACGCCTTGATATTGCTGGAATATTGCTAAAAGCGGCACAAAATCCAACTCACTCACTCCACGGCTGTGTCAAACCAAAAGAAATTAAGAGAAGGTGCTTGCCTGGCGTTCGCCAGTAAGGGTATAAAACAATGACCGATCCATTCGGAGTCAGTATACTCAGGAAACTGAGTAGTATATCCATAGTAAACTGTGGTATGGTATCTCAGTGGACAAGCACTATTCAACCGGCATTAGTCATTACAAATGCATTTATTAACATTCGAAATATGCTGACAGCCAACTGTTCTGTATATGATACTGACTAGCTTTCATCTTATCCACCTTTTCCTCACACCTGTAAACATGACGAAATGAGAGTATCATATTCGGCAGCAGGTGACCTGTTGGCTCATGTGAGTGGTATTATGCGGGTATTGTGAAATCAGTAGCGGGCGTTTATGATGAAGTGTCACAGTAACCAAGGTCCCATTCAGTAGTATAGTGGACTTGACACGGGACGTTCAGAACGCTCCAACCGCCAGCATGACTGAACAAAGCCGAATGAACATTATCAATGGAGTTGCATCCCTTCTGGTCGTGGCGTGTGGTAAGTAGTATTAAAATCAATTTGAAAAGGAGATTATCAGATTTGGGCCGATTTGTCACTATTTTCAACTTTCTGTCTTGGTCATACTTTCAGTGACCTATGAAAAGTGTGATGAAGTTGGTGTGAGCATATTTGACAGATCCATATTGGGATATACAGAACCGCAAGAGTGAAGATGTACTCATATAATATCTAAACATTTTAACAGGTTCAAAGTTAGTTATGGGGCGTCACCTGTTGCAGCGTCCTCTGTGTAGTGTGTTTGTCTCATGTGAGCAAAATTCCAAGTTAAAGTTATATCGGGATTAAATTATATTATTGTTATGGTTATAATGATGATTTATTGCCCGAGCTTTGACGAAAAGAAACATACACAATTATTACGTTATTTACATTGTATATACAGCTTACGACAACTATATTCAAACATGTCTTTGAAGGGCATTTAGAAGTGATCCACATAAGGAAGAGAATTTATGGAGTATATTCTTACTCACCTGATGAAGGAGGAAGTATATACTCCTTAACGTTTGTTCCTCATAATAAAGAAGTTGACATTCATAAATTCTCTTCCTTATGTATTCTGTCATAATAGAACATTGTCTCTCACACAAATGTTTTGTTCACCACATAAATGTTTGTACAAGTACATCAGCATCAGTGGATTCACCGATACGTGTATACGAGTTAAGAAATAAATATTTCATCCAATACACCTGCCTAATGAAATTATATCGCATTCGTTTTCCATAAACAGTAGTGAGTGAGTATGGTTTTACGCCGCGTTTAGCAATATTCCAGCAATATCACGGCGGGGGACATCAGAAATGGGCTTCACACATTGTACCCATGTCGGGAATCGAACCCGGGTCTTCGGCGTGACGAGCGAATGCTTTAACCACTAGGCTACCCGACCGCCCCCAATAAACAGTAAATAAAATTCTGCGAAAACATGAAAGAACGAATAAATTCTTTTACATAAACTATCACTATTGAGGTTCAAGTGTTATAAAGCATAGAAAAGACAATATGTTTGACAGGTAAATCATTTTGTTGGTTGTGTACATGAGTAAATAAGTGAAGTAAATGTTCAGGTTCTAATAAAATCGGCATGTATACTCTGCAAAGAGAGAAAAGCAAAAGTGATTTTAGATGAATATTTTATATATCATATAAATAATCCACAGATGGTAATCGATTGTTCAAATATTGGCACATGTCATTGGCCTAGGGTCCATATGACAATAGATTTTCAAGGTGGGGGTCATCTGTCCATTAGAGTCCAAAACTGACTGGCATCGGTGTCCCATGGAAGCAGTCAGATCCCGAATTGTGGCATGGCAATGTTCACCCACTCTGCCTGCAGTGCTCGTGCCAACTATGGGAGGTTTTGTGGTTGTTGCTGACGTGCTCGCAGTCATTGGTCCAGTGAAAAACACTACTGACTCACTTCTTCCATGTACACAGCCCCTTTATCCTACTTGTCAGTGTACAGAAGGCACCACTTGTAATCCCTTGTCATGGGATTGAGTGAGTCTGATAAACTCCATTTACCCCAGCACAATGACATAAACAATTATTTGACAGTGAGTTGTAGAATAGATGCAACCGCCGGGTAGAACTGTACTAGAATCATCCTTGCGAGATGTAGTGTCGTTCTTGGAATCTACAATCATATTCTGACTGACCTTAGTTATAACATGGCAATTTCATTTCAATATACAATGACTAACGTGACAGAAACCTTTTTGAGTGGCATTTAGAAGTTGGAATGGTAACTAAGACAAAATTGTTATGGATGAGCAACTTCTTTATTACAATTTGCTTGATAACGGTGTTAGAATCTACACGGAAACGTCGTCCAATTGTAATAAAGAAGTTGCTCATACATAACAATTGTGTCTTAGTGACAGAAACTGTCCAATGGAGCTTGTTGACTATTAGAAACAAGATTGCACAATTTGTTTTGTTTTTTATCGTGTCTGCTACCGGTAGAGCAGAACGACTGCTTCCCTTTTCGCTAACGCATGGTGTCATCACGGATTTTCAGTGATCGATTTATATAATTTTCACCATTTTGCCTTTTATGAAAAATTGAATCTGTTTCGGCAGACAATCGTTTTTTTCTGTCGTTCACGTTTTCTATACCTCCCAAAAGAAGGCAAAGAGCATATTATTTACATATTATTTATATGACAGATAAACTACAGTCGAACCTCATTGTGTCAAACTCGTTGGGACCTGAAAAAGAGTTTGAGTTAGACGGGCTTCAAGACATCAGGAAACTTTTCTGCTTAATTTGGATACTCTGGACCCCAAAACGAGAATTCGACACATCAAAGTTCGACACAACGAGGTTCGACTGTATAGTTATATAAAAGAATCGGATGTTCTTTAACTTCTTTTGATTGTATATCATACATAAAAATGGAACATGTTCTTGGGGTTATGCCCATTAGAAACTATAAGATGAGTTTCTTATTTCCATGCGGTCGAAGACAGAGCCGATATTTTATAATGAAACGATGTTAAGTACATAGAGGAAAGATTTGGGCTTCGTACAACGCCCACCGCTGAAATCTAGATGCCATGCCTTAGCTTTAAGCAGGATGTCCCCCGTCTGTCAGACAGATAGTATTAGTAATTTGAAACAAAATAAATACCCTGCAATATCATTTCCCATCAAGTAATTACTCACAGGCAATAGCCCTGGTGCATATACTTGCATACCCGTGAAGATCCGGGTTAAAATATGTCTTCAGCAACCCATGCTTGCCGTAGAAGGCGACTATGCTTGTCGTAGTGCAGCGTTAAACAACAAACAAACAAACAGCGACACGCCATTATTCCGAACAGTAATTTTTAGATACACTATTAGAAACAAAATTGCAAAATGTGTTGGGTTTTTTACCTTTCCGCTACCGGTAGATCAGGACATGCTTTTCCTTTTCGCGAACACCTGTTTTCATCACTGATTTTAAGTGATCCATTCATATAATTTCCACCATTATCTTACCTTTCATAACGGAATCTTTTTCGGGAGATAATCAAGACTGATTATTCTCAGGTGCTGGCGTTTTCCATTTTACCAATGTTATCGACCGGATTAGTTTATTTTCGGAACGATATGGGTATGGATTCACGGTGCACTAAAAGACGTTCCCAACAATATTCTTCTGTTCTCCTCACAATAGAGGTCGGACAAACGGGGCTACCTGTCTCCTGCTGGTAGGCTGCAGATACTAAAAATGAAATTGATTATTTTGTACAGCTGGGATTACTAAGCTAACATGTATCTGAACAATATCACCGCTGACAGTTAAATCGCGTTTTGTAAAGTGTAATCTTAACGTCTCTTTATCTATAGGAGTGAGTGAGTGAGTATGGTTTTACGCCGCTTTTAGCAATATTCCAGCAATATCACGGCGGGGGACACCAGAAATGGGCTTCACACATTGTACCCATGTCGGGAATTGAACCCGGGTCTTCGGCGTGACGAGCGAACGCTTTAACCACTAGGCTACCCGACCGCCCTTATCTATAGGAAATGTTTATATGTCGCTGAAGGTACAATGTATGTCCACATCTCATAACCCAGCGCGTGCTCACACCCACCTACATACATGATACATATTGCAACCATCTACTGTAACGTTATATTCAAGGGTGTGAGTCAGCCTGTTGATGTATGGAGTAGATGCTACTTTAACCTAATAAGTAGCCTGTTCGTAGTTGACGTATACAATGCCTATACTATATGAGAACAATGCGAACCATGGCAGTCGTCAAGTAAGAGTTCACGGTGCTAAAACCTATTTCATTCCTGTGTTATTATACATAATAAGACCTTTATACTCAAAGATAAAAGTCTTAATGATCATATTTTGATGAATAACGCTTCAACGTTTGAAGACTTAAAGTCTGATTTAATAGGTAAAGTGTTAAAATGTGCGAATGTTCGTTTTTATCGATGATTAATATCGAGGAAGTGTTACAGTCCTGAGCAACGCGCACATTAACGTTACAGGCAATAAGGCTGACAGCAGTTCTCCGGGCATGACCTGAGCTTAATATGCGCCCTGCACGGACTGCAGACTTCACCAGCTGAAATAGATGGCCATTATCCCATGGTGATAGACCGCCTTATTATATGCCAAAGTCAGTTGAGTTTAAGAGGATTACATATTTGCCTACCTGGAATATTTTCTCTGTCAAAGGGACATACAAGCAAGACATATACCAATTATAGGTGTCTGCTAGTTTTTGTGTTCACTGAAAGAATCGAACTGTCGTGTATCAGGTGCCACAACCTACAACATCGTAGTGTGAACATTCTTAACAAGTTGTTTTCATCAAACTTATTTATGGTGAAAATGGATCATGACGCGAAAGCCTTTTGAAATGAGCATTCCATCTTCATGTCAAAGTACGCATAAATTCATACAAACGCGATTCAGCTTATAATGGACTTCATAATTCTTTTCTTTGAATCTCAATTTCTAACTGATATTCCTTAAAAACCGTAATGTATTTTGTGTCATGCTTTGCTCTAAATGAAATAAAAATAATAAATTAGTAATATTATATAAATGATTTATTAATTATTCAGTTCCACATGTAAAACCTTTCAAGAATTTGTGTACAAAGTAGAATTGTAACATTTAGTAATTTCAAGTATAACGTCATGCCGTTATTTAAAAAATGTAGACAACGTACCTTTTTACGTTTTCCATCACAAATGATCGCTTTATTTCTGTCATATTCAACGTGGAGCGATGCATGTACTCGCGATCGAACTCGTAATGTTGTGTATTAGATCCGTTGGCGTTACTTACGAATTATGACATAAACTTACTTTATTTGAATAAATATACCTGTAATAGTTAGGCATCGATCGGAAGCTTCGATCTAAAGCGCTTGGTTCTAAATTCAATAAGAGGTATCTAATCTACTGTTAGACTACCTCAAATTTCAAAACACAGCAGGTTTACCTTCATTCTACTGTGATGAGAAGAACGCTTTAAAATCTGTACTCTGTTGGAACAACACATGGGTCAATATGTCAGCTGTCTTACAACTTTTCGAAATGGGTCACAGACAGTTACAAAAGTAACAAATATTACTCAAGTTTAAGTTGAAAATCATTTAAATATTAATATATATTTGGATATTAAAATGTAAATGTAAAACAAGAATTCACTCTTCTCGAACCTAAATAATAACGAAATAAATATATACTTAATAGTAATAAATAAAAGCTACAAATCCCTTTCCACATTTATAAGACTTTCGGTGGTATGATTCCGACTACATCATCAGCATGTTTTTTTAAATCACCATCCAACAGTGATACAGAGCAGAACAGAACTTTATTACGCCCAAGGCTACAAAAAGTAGCATGTTGTGGTTTAACAGGAGATGTGACGTATAATAGTGATGGCAGCTATAATAGTTATGTAAATGAAGCCATTACTATTTTACAATATTTTGACAATTGTTTGATGACACCTTGATGAAACCACTTCTCTCAGTCTCTCAAAGCTGTCTGAAGAGGATGGTTACACTGTAAGACTGCCAATACTTGTTAAGCCGCTTAAGTGCTCCGACTACGGTGTCAATATTACTCACTCACTCATCTTTTCTTCGCAGGTGTCATCTACAGCTCTCTGATTGGTGCCCTGATACATAAGGCGAAAGAGTTTGTTCAAACTCAAACCGGCTACAACATCTCCTTCGCTGACCTTCCTGTGTGGGCGTTGGGTTTTGCGGTAAGAGATTTCAGTTCTCCTGTTGTAACACACTCTGCCTGGTAAATCTAGACACAACATTTCATTTGTTCGTAAGCAAAACAACAATGTCGTTATTCCAACCACATTTCCTCATCTGTCAATTAAGTTATGTATCTATCGACACTCCTGTTTTCAGTACATCGTCCCTGGAATCATTGGTGTCATCGCGACAGTTGTTAGAGCGAAGGGTGGGGTAAGTTGAAACCTAATCATGACATCTGCCTTCACGTGGCTATGCAAGTTGTATTGGTGTTCGAGTGAGTGAGTGAGTGAGTGAGTTGGGTTTAACGCCGCTTTTAACAGTATTCCAGGTATCTCGCGGCGTGTCAGCTTAATGTGGGAGGAAAGCCCGAAGTGATGCAGGTCTCAGACGTTTACCACTTCGGTGAAACCCACGAGCACGGTATGGTGTTGACAAACCTAGAAACATAATCGGGGCGAACCTGGATTCGAACCCACAATCAAAGGTTTCTGGCGTGCCCAAGGGACGCAACTCTGCACAGCGAATCGCGGCGCCTTAGACGACTGGGCCACCCGTGCCCCCTATTGGTGTTCGAAGTCACAAGGAACAGTTGTCTTCGAAGCCCAATTGTGGAACAATTGAAGCCCGTTGAGGTTGTTCCATGTCAATATGTCTCTGGAATATTCCACGGTGGCGTGTTTGTATACCCGAACACCCATTAAATGACCATCGGCATTAATTCTTGTGGTTGCATCCGATCATTTTCGCGAACACCTGTTATCATCACAATTTGACGAAATTCATAAATGCTTACTCATGATACAGTTGGAATCGTAAATGGAATCATTAACTCAGCTAGACCGCCTCCATGGTCTTGTGGTAGAGCGTCCGCCCGGAGAGCGGAAGGTCCAGGGTTCGATCCCGGGCCGCGTCATACAAAAAGACGTTAAAAGATTGTACTTGTTGTTACCCTGTCTGGCGCTCGGCATTAAGGGGCTAAAACAAGGACTGGTCGGCTCGGAGTCAGTATACTGTGTCTGAGTGGGGTATTCATGTTAAACTGCGGCATGGTATCTCAGTGAGCTAGCACTATAAATCGGCATCAGTCCGGACTAGTACAAGCAGCCACACACACACATACACGTGCATGCACGTCGCTATATAAGTGCAATAATCTTGGACGCGACGTTAAACCCAATTTCACCTCACCTCATTAACTCAGCTTTTCGCAGAGATTTTTTTATCATTTGTCGTGCTTATCTATATGTAATAATTGTAAATGTTTAGGAGTTTGCGCTTTCATCGTTTTCATTGCATATGGATACTTTTACTCGATACATATCTTTTCTTTTCTCAATCCCTAATTTCAACAACGTGCTTCTGGGCGAGGTCAATGCCACATTAATGAAATACTATATTAAGTAGAATTAAGTTTTTATTAACATACACCAGAACAACTTAGTTGTTTGTTTCCACATTCTGCAAAGGAGGCTGGTTCAGGTATCACGACAGCTTGTGACGTCACCATTGTCATGACGTCATCTCAATAATGTTTAATACTGATGACCTTTTATTTCACAATGTCGACAAACGTTATGTGTTTCTGTTTCGGAATGTCCGGAATGGTCAATTGGAACTGCAAGCGTCAGCCGAATGTTTGAAATGTTGACATTTCCGGATACACAGGATAACCTGTTAATGTGAAAATATAAAATGGTTATCACCTGACATCTGTTTCCGCCGACCCGTGAAGATCCGGGGTAGAATAGGTCTTCCGCAACCCATGCTTGCCGTAAGGGGTGACTATGCTTGTCGTAAGAGGCGACTAACGGGATCGGGTAGTCAGGCTTGCTGACATGGTTGATGCATGTCCCAATTGCGTAGATCAATGTTCATGATGTCAATCACTGGACTGTCTGGTCCAAACTCGATCATTTACAGACCGCCATTATATAACTGCAATATTGCTGAGTGCGGCGTTATACAACAAATAAACAAACAAATTACAATCGACACATGTACACTCTATACCTACTTCTTCCTTTTTCAGTACATCACTCACATGGTGTTCTCCATCCTCACGCTTTTGATCATGGGGATCTTCGCCATCGTTGGAATCATTGCCCTTGGTGCTCTGGCTACCGCCAATATACCATCATGCAGGTTTGTTTCTTTGTGCGGCAATATTCCAGTTACATGACTCCCAACTGCGTGGTTCGATGCTCATGATATCAATCACTAGATTGTCTGGTCCAGACTCGATCATTTACAGACCGCCGTCATATAGCTTGAATATTGCTGAGTGTGGCGTTAAACAACAAACCAACCAACCAACCAGTTGTAAGACAGCGATCTGTAAATAATCGAGTCTGGACCGCACAATCCAATAATGGTATCTTGAACATCGATCTACGCAATCAGGATACAGTATTAATCACTGGATTGTCTGGTCCAGATTAATTTACAGACCGCCGTCATAGCTGGAATATTGCTGAGAGCGGCGTTAAACAACAAACAAACAAACAAACAAAACATATTATGATTAGGATTCAACTTACCCCACCCTTGACGTTATATATTTAACATTTGCTTCCCAGGTTCGCTCCAATTGTGAGACCGCCTCCATGGTCTAGTGGTAGAGCGTCCGCCCGGGGAGCGGAAGGTCCGGGGTTCGATCCCCGGCCGCGTCATAAAAGACGTTAAAGATGGTACTTGTTGTTACCCTGTCTGGCGCTCGGCGTTAAGGGGCTAAAACAAGGACTGGTCAGCACTATAAATCGGCATCAGTCCGGACTAGTACAAGCAGCCACACACACACGTGCATTCACGTCGCTATATAAGTGCAATAATCTTGGCCGCGACGTTAAACCCAATTTCACCTCACCTCACCTCTCATTGTGATTCTTGTTCACATACATGTAGGTCTACATTTAGCTAGCATTCACTGAAATACCAGGAATGCTGCCCAACGAGGCATGATATCAAACCATTCAGTCCTTCAAGTGATGTTTGTTGTCGGTTTCAGTTCTTTGGGTGACAAAAGTGCTGCATGCGCTGAAGCCGAGTCCATCTATGGAATGGGAGTAGGGGCAATCATCATGATCGTGTTCGGCTGGATCTTCGCCCTGGTATCGACAATCCTCTCTGGTATTATGGCTTGCAAGCCAGAGGTACGTTGATGTGAGCAGATAAAAGTCAGTGAAAGTGTTCATTTTTAAAATTGTGAATTTTTAACGAGTGAGTGAGTGAGTGAGTGAGTGGGTGGGTGGGTGGGTGGGTGGGTGAGTGAGTGAGTGAGTGGGTGAGTAAGCGAGTGAGTGAGTGAGTGACTGAGTGAGCATGGTTTTAATCTGCAACATTAGCAACATCCCTTCACACTTTGTACCCGCGTGGGCAATCGAACCAGGGCCTTTAACCAATAGGCCCTACCCCGTCTTCCGTGTGAAGTCAATACCGTATGAATAATACATGAATGGTTCTAAATTTAAACGTTCAAGTTGTAAGGGTATTAATTTTCAAAGCTCTACGTTGAAAGGACATTCCATACACACTAAACATATTCAGGAAACAACACCCACGAATCAACAATATGATAACATATACATGTCTATATATCAACATTGTGTGAAATATAATTAGGAACACCTCCTCAGGAATGGCTGCCTGACATGTTCATATTATTTGTTTCAGCATTGTGTAGGTCGTAACATACCAATATTCTAACAGCAATATCAGTCTTATTTTACCCCGTCTTCACTTTCAGCACGTGAGCAACCCAGTGCAGTTTGGCTCTAAGCCTTATTAGTCAACAGGCGAAGATTTAAGCTACACTAAGATCATGAGATCAGAAGACTGTTGCCATTACCAGACACTGGATGTATTACATTAAGTTACGCTGTTTCAGTTATCAAGTACTTAGGACCACAGGCCTAAAACAAGATGTTACCCACAGGTTAACAGTTCGTCTTCATTGTAACATCCATACATGTGGGCATACATATTTGGTAATTGTGTTGTTTAATTTTGAATAACATGTCGTGGTGCAAACATATATAGGCCTAGAATACCAAACGAGCTCCCGTGTAATACCAATTTTATGAAACGAGTGAATAGTTCTGGTATTTGACGAGCGAAAACATTAAATTGGTACTACAGGGGAGCGAGTTTAGTATTTTAGTTCTGGTATCTGATGAGCAAAAGCATTAAATTGGTACTACAGGGGAGCGAGTTTGGTATTTTAGTTCTGGTATCTGACGAGCGAAAGCATTAAGTTGGTACTACACGGGAGCGAGTTTAGTATTATATTTATTACTTGCCGTTGAAAACCTTTTTTAAGAATTTCATTGTCGTGTGTGAATATAGGCAGACATCTACGCGATCCACAGCATAATCCAATTGTGTTTAACAAACAATACTTCAAACACGTCAAAAGTTAACACGTATTAATTTAATAACATGCAATTGCCCATCTTAAGAATTCAGGGTTCCTTTCCAGAAAGTTATCGTAGTGCTGAGGTTATCAATAACTCCCATATACCTAGACGTACAAGTGTCGTGGCACTACGATCGCCTTTTGGAACGGGGTCCTGCATCACAAAGTTTACAATCACGTCACAATCCCCTTTGACGTAATTTGTGAAATTTTGTTGCAATATCCACCGGCGAAACAATGCCATGTGGCGTCAGCCTAGCAACAGGGTTGCTGGGGTCATCAAGTGTGCATAAGCTCCCTTCAGTAATCTATCATCTCCACACGCAATGTCGTTGAATAAGCCCAGGGATGTTGAGAGATTTCGATATGTGTTCGTGAAACTTGTTCCCACAGTACATTAACACGCACTTTGGTATTACACAATGTGTAATGCAGCTGTATTTTTATTAAACGGGTGATCGATAGCATTTGTGTATTTAAGATCAGTCAGGCTCCAGTAAACAGTAAACTCAAAATTCACATTTAGAAAACGGTATTCATCTGTCCATCGTTCAATATGCACTTTTTTGGATGGGGAAGTAACAGAATTACTGCATGTGATCCAGATGATGAAGGGCTATTTAGGTTCTGCAACATGTCTTTTTATATAATGTTTTATGATTATGTGTTTCGTTTAAAAATTGCATAGGCAGAGCGACATTGAATGCTCGCTGTGTAGTCTGTGGCGTTAAATCGATGTTTGAATTCTTATATATACATGTTAAGTTTATTAAATGCATCTAATGCTTCGCACTCAACGAAAGTATTTTGGTGTGTCGTAAATATGTATTTCTCTTTTCCCTGTCAACATGTCAGACACAGTTATCACATTGTCCATCATAAAAAACCTCTCGCAATCGTAATGATTATTTGACCACATCTTTCCCCGTCTAAAAGCTTAGGAAATATTACAATGTACAGTGACTTAAAAATAATAAACACTACTTTATTGGCTTGAAATGAAACATTTACAATATTGTTCGACCATGTCAATGTCTTCGAGAAGAGAACTTGAAGATATTTTAAGTATGGAATATTTTCAATTTTCGAAACTCTGTAATACCACTTTTAGTGTTTAGATAAAACACTCCTATTGTTAGAAGTCATGGTGTTTGTGTTTATTGGCTTGAAATGAAACATTTACAATAACGTTCGACCATGTCAATGTCTTCGAGAAGAGAACTTGAAGATATTTTGAGTATGGAATATTTTCAATTTTCGAAACTCTGTAATACCACTTTTAATGTTTAGATAAAACACTCCTATTGTTAGAAGTCATCGTGTTTGTGTTTTTTTTCAACTTAAGTGATAACCAATACAATACTGTTTACTAGAAGTTAAACTGTTAAACTATACACAGAGTCAGACATAAGTACAACGCCGTGACCAAAGAGTAAAAAACACTTGGGCTAAGTCGGGATAAAACTGTTCCCCATGCGAACAAGAGGAATCAACAGCATGGCATTGAACTAATTCATCTATAAACATTGAAAACAAGAATGGGCTCAATACACAGCCTTGTCTGAGACCAATGAACATTCAAAAACATCTGAATCATCTGAACATACATGTATGAACATCTTTGAGGAAATACTTCTACTTTTCAGAACAAACCATAATTTGGACCTGTTTACTAAATCAAAGGCTTTTGAAAATTTATCACACTCACATAAAATTTACCCTCTTTTTAGACAAATACTGTTGGATAATTGCTTGCTGAATGTTAACATGTATCAACGAGTTATATATATAACACCTTTGAAGAAACAATTCTACTTTACAGAACAAACCATTATTTGGACATATTTACTGAAACAAAGGCTTTTCTCAAATCACCAAGCGCACATAAAATTCCCCCTTCTTCTTAGACAAGTACCGTTGGGTAATTGCTCGTAAAATATATGTCAACGGTGCTATAACGTTTTCGAAAATCATCCTGGGATTTTTCAAGTTTGTCTTATGCATTAAACCATAACACAATTCTTTTAATGAGAATAGTTGTGTATTTTTAACTAAGTACTCTTAACAGCGTTTTGCCTCTGTAGTTATTTGGCTCTACCCTGTTGTGTCAGCGGAATGGAAACCTGATGTCTACCACATTGGTGAAACCAACGAACACCTTTTGGGGGCTGGCACCAAAGAATGCCAATCGTGGGATTTGAAACGATCATAGGATGCATAGGGAACTGCGAAGTCTGAGATGACCAGAACAGATCGTATGCTCAAATGCAAATTGTGTAAGTAAAATAATATTAGTGAAAGCACACAACTCAAAACGTTTTTCTGTAACCCGTGAAGATCCGAGCTAAAAATGGACTTCAGCAACCCATGCGTTTCGTAAGAGGCGACAAACGAGATCGGGTGGTCAGGCTCGGGTGGTGAACTCACCTGTTGAAGGAGTAAGGATATACTCCGAAACGTTGTGTTGCCTCAAGAGAAACACTTTATTCACTGAAAGTAGGAGGCTAACAAAATACTCCAAACACATAGTTTTTCAGGAAAAAACAACAGAATATAAAATGATAGACCCTTAACAATCACACGACTATGTTTCCTCAAGCTAATTCACCCTTAGACCTTTGTATTCAATTACTTCTTATGTGAGAACACTGTAATCTGGATAACCTGGTCGATCTCACGTTTCCCTAGTCCTGTTTCATTTAGAAGTCAGATGTACGTACCACAGCGGGCCGCGCTGTGCTATGACTTGATGTGAGTCTGACGTATCAAATTGCGAAATGATGAAATTCAACATGAACATAGTCAGGTACATTATGGACACGCAAGGAATAATAATCCTACTGGTGTTATTCTTCTTTGATATTTCTATGGGAAATAACCGACTTGCTCAAAACAATGGCGTGAAAACAGTGTCAGCATAATTTTATTAAGCAAGCTCAGGGGCTCTGAAACTGGTTGTCATATTGAATCCGTCTTACAACGTTGATAGCATTTAATAATAAAGCGACTTTAGAGTTGAACACGTATGATTTTGCTTTTAAACCTTGCCGAGATCTGTTCTGTCTCTGTACCTTTGCCCAATGCGTGTTAACTTCATACGTATACTTTGATCTACATTGCGTTTACTGGGACGTGTGCGTCCGAGTGTGCTTATTATATGCCGTCTTCACTCGGACTGTCATTCGCCTACTTGTCTGAACTGTTATCTAGCATAGTGAACACCCATGTAATGTATATTATGTTTTATATTGGCGATGTTAGAACGGATTTATCCGACAAAGTGTAGAGTGTTTTGAACTTTGCACATTCACCCACATAATTAAGATGTCATATTTCTGTCATGATATTTTCTTGTAACTTATCAATCAAAAAATGCCTAATTTGAAATATTGCATTCCCTTAAATCATGGTGGGAGAGACATATGCATAGCGACACAACACACGGTTATATGGATGTCTGTGGTATCACTTAGAAGCAAGGCCTCGTTCTTGAGAGCGATCATAGTCCTTAGATAATCTTAACTCCCACACTTTAGCTTTGGCTTACGACCGACCCAGAGCTAAGGTCGCGTTGTAGAACGGAGTCCACAGCACTGACTTATGGCAGTGCACATATACACTTTTATCATATATTGGGCAGGTTTCTCGGCAGGATAAAGCCAACGGATGAAAACGATATCCGTTGGGGTCATATGCGGAAAGAGTTGCAATTATCAAAGGTCAAGTAGGGACTACTTTCAGTGTTTATAAACAAACATGGCGTCGCCCTTGTCATTCGGCGACATTGTCATTAACCATTGGGAATCTAGATAAACTACAGGGATAATTGCTACAATTATCAAAAGAACAGTCTAATATACTGAAAATCAGTGTCTAACTGCGACGTAACTAAGGCATTTTATAAGTTTTGGCAACTTTGGAGATATAAATTTCAAAACAATTTTGCGAGGGCACGTGGCCTAGCCAAGCGGGATCAGTAGCCATATCTGTGCTTGTAGACCTCTGCGTCTTGAAACCTTTTCCACAAATTAAAATAGTTGGATTTAGCCGAAATATGTTTGAACTGTTAACTCGTTTCGTTTTGGCGCTGTGTGTACATCTGATTGCACTTCTTAACGTTATGACAGGACAGACCGACTGTCAACAACGTCTGACCGTGGCCGTGACGTCTCATAGACTAGGGTTAGAGTAGCTTCCCTTTGACAAAGGACAGTTACTCTAGCGGACAGACCGATGGATTGCCGCGAAAGGCAAGTAAAAACAATTGTTGTTTTGCGTATATGTTGCTTCGCCAGTGTATAAGAAACAGATTTCAGTTGGAACTATATTGGCTACTGTCACTGTCCGACTGACACATCACTTACCCTGTGACTTAATAAATATTAATGCGCGCATTCCAGGAAAACTCGCAACGTTTCAGTAATGTTTGTGAGAGAGGGAAAGCGATTTTCAAGCACAGAATTAAAGAATGACATGATATGATAAAGAGGTTATCACGCTTGTGTGTTTGAGGATGGTAAATATCCTGTATTAGGAATAAACACTAGCCAAGGCTCGCTAAATACAATGTTTATTCCGAAGTCAACTGCCAGAGTGTACTTTTCCGGATCTTTAAGGGCAAAATATGTTTTAACTTGTGTATTGCATTGGTCGTCTGTGTTAAACCTTGGTCTTGACTGGAGGTTCTAGTGATGTTACTCATTACACATCAGCAAATATGAGATAGCTACACGACAAATCGCAAAGAACAATGTATTTTGAAAATAACATTCAAGGATCCTATATACACACAGCCACATCCATTCCAACATCCAGGCCTTCACTCACAGCTGCTTACTCAAACCATTAAAACACACCCGCTCATTCAAACACATCCAAACCCTCGTTGCCAACCGATCAATCACATGCGAACCCTCACCCACACCGCCACATAGTACCCTCACCCACACCCTATTTCTCAAACATACCCTCACCTGTACCCATTCCCACACCCATACAAACTACATTACCTACATTATCAACCACACCCTCATTCGCAACCAGATCCTTTCCCACTTCCACAAAAAGAAGCATCAACCACGAATGAAGCTACAAACAAAGTAACATGCCACTGTCACAAATACACATTCCTAACTAAACAACACAGACCCATGAGGATCCGGGGTAGAATAGGTTTTCAGCAACCTGCTTGCCATATAAGACGACTCTGCTTGTCGGAAGAGGCGACTAACGGGCTCGGGTAGTCAAGCTCCTGACTTGGTTGATGCACGTCATCGGTCCCAGATATGAATCACTGGATTGTCTGGTCCAGACTCGATTATTTACAGACCGCCGTCATGTAGCTTGGATATTGCTGAGTGCGGCGTTAAACAACAAACAAACACACAAACAAAGGAACTGAATAGGTATTAGAAAATATTCCGACCAGGGTTTAAATACTTCAGGATTGTCGTAAAAGTTCAATAGTAAGAGGCGACTAATTGGATCGTGTGCTCAGGCTAGCTGCGTTGCTTGATGCATGTCATCGTATCACAATTGTGTAGATCGATGCTCATGATGTCAATCACAGATTATTTTACACACCGCCGTCATATAGCTGGTGTATTGCAGAGTTCGGCGATCAAGTACAAACAAACAAACGAACACAACTGATTAAAATAGGAATCAGGAGGTCATCCATGTTAAATTAACTGCATTGCGATGATCTTTCCTTTGCTTCGTCGAGGCTAAATTATTTACAGCCTCCTCCGTGGTCTAGTGGTAGAGCGTCCGCCCGGAGAGCGGAAGGTCCGGGGTTCGTTCCCCGACCGTGTCATACAAAAAGACGTTAAAAGATGGTACTTGTTGTCTGGCGCTCAGCATTAGTGGCTAAATCAAGGACTGGTCGGCTCAGAGTCAGTATACTGTGTCAGAGTGGGGTATTCATGTTAAACTGCGGGATGGTATCTCAGTGAGCTAGCACTATAAAACGGCATCTGTCCGGACTAGTTCAAGCAGCCACACACACACGCACACACGTGCATGCACATCGCTATATAAGTGCAATAATCTTGGACGCGACGTTAAACCCAATTTCACCTCACCTTACCTATATTATTTACAGGGCATCCTAAATAGCTGAAGATTGACAACATTCACTAACACCTTACAGGAGAAAGTATATATAATCCTAGTATACATAGTTTTGGCCTTCCGTCTACATTAAGCTGATAAAATGAAACCCGAAATTAAAGTAGCCTGATACACGACTCCAGACATTGCTGCTTCACCAAGCGTGACAATGTCTGACATAGCGGATGACCGATAGCTGTCAGCTTTCCTCTTAGTTTATCGTAGAGACTCGAAAGCTCTTCTATTGCTCGTGTTTCGTGATTATGTGCTACGCTGTAGATTCAGTGTTCACAGAGAATGCTAATAAACACACTTTTAGTTAAAATCTATTGCCTGTAATCGAGCATAATCTTTCTACGAAGAGCTTGTTCAAAAGTTGTTTGATCAGGGGTACAAGGCCTCAGTAAAGCTTCCAAATAGTTTATGGTAAGAAAAGCGACAAAACCCTTTCCATATTAATAATGAATATCTGCTAAAAGCAGAGACGATTGTACAATTCCGACTTTATCAGGCGGCATGTGATAATACTAGGCGTTTGCAAAAGGTTGAGTGTATCCTGCCCCCGAAGGCAAGTCAATTGTCCACCTGAAAAAACACGGGTGCATCTTGTCCGAGTCAAAATTGCACCAGATATCAGTTTTGTCACAAATTTAGAAAAGTCCTCCATGTGTCTACCATAAAAAAATGAAAAAGACTTATTGAGGCGTAAGATTTGAACCATATTTTTCCGGGTCGTTTTAATAATACATCGATCGATCACTGATTCTACAGGCTCACTCATTTAAACGCTGCACTCATATAAACAGGGACAACTAACTGACTGTATAGGTTGGCTAGTTACAACGTCGACCTAAATAAAGAGGTCACTTACGCCTTATCTATACATTGCGGACTATATTGACATAGCTTCGTTTAGTATATTGCACCACGCCGAGAAACCACTCCGCGTCAGGGTATTTAACACGTTGACTTAGAAAGTGTTACAAATGACTTGAGCTTATACTTGTAACGTCGTACATGTGATCTTGACGCTGAGTATATCATGCAGCCAAGTACAAAGGTAGGGTAAAAAAAGATGGTATGGGTTTATGTAAATTCGGGTATCAAAGGTGGTATTTATGTATGTTAATAAGGGTGTCTAAGCATGAGTGAGTGAGTATCGTTTCACGCCGCTTTTAGCAACATTCCCGCAATATCACGGCGGTGGACACAAAGGTAGGGTACGAATATATTGCTGTATGTTAACAGGCAAACCAGGGGGCACGGGTGACACTGTAAAGGGCACGCCAGATGCGTCCCTATGATTGTGGGTTCGAATCCCTGTTCGCCCCGATTAAGTTTCTAGATTTGTCAGCACCATTCCCGTGCTCGTGGGTTTCACCGAAGTGTCAAACATCTGAGACTTGCTGGCTTTCCTCCCACATGAAGCTGACACGCCGTGATATAACTGGAAAACTGTTAAAAACGGCGTTAAACCCGATTCACTCACTAATAGGCAAGCATAATCTCACAGTACAAGATTGTACTTACAAGTACAAAGTTTGGGCAAAATATATATGGCATCGCTGTATGTTATAGGCAAACCATATCTCACAGTACAAGATTGTACTTACAAGTACAAAGTTTGGGCAAAATATATATGACATCGAAGTAAGACGAGTTCTATGGATGAACAACTTCTTATTACAATTAGTGCGACGTTTCGGTGTAGATCCTAACACCTTGATCATCACTTGCTTGATAAAGGTGTTAGGATCTACACCGAAACGTCGCACTAATTGTAATAAGAAGTTGTTCATCCATAGAACTCGTCTTACTTCATCACTCCAACTTCTAAATGCCACTCAAAGAAGTTATATATGACATCGCTGTATGTTATAGGCAAACCGTATCTCACAGTACAAGATTGTACTTACAAGTACAAAGTTTGGGCAAAATATATATGGCATCGCTGTATGTTATAGGCAAACCGTATCTCACAGTACAAGATTGTACTTACAAGTACAAAGTTTGGGCAAAATATATATGGCATCGCTGTATGTTATAGGCAAACCGTATCTCACAGTACAAGATTGTACTTACAAGTACAAAGTGTGAGCAAAATATATATGGCATCGCTGTATGTTATAGGCAAACCGTATCTCACAGTACAAGATTGTACTTACAAGTACAAAGTGTGAGCAAAATATATATGGCATCGCTGTATGTTATAGGCAAACCGTATCTCACAGTACAAGATTGTACTTACAAGTACAAAGTTTGGGCAAAATATATATGGTATCGCTGCATGTTAATAGCCGAACCTTATCTCACAGTACATTTGTTTGTTTGTTTGTTTGTTGTTTAACGCCGCACTCAGCAATATTCCAGCTATATAACGGCGGTCTGAAAATAATCGAGTCTGGACCAGAAAATCCAGTGATTGACATCATGAGCATCGATCTTATCATGACGCCCGGTACAAAGGTAGGGTTCAAAATATATGGTAGTTTTGTTGTTAATGGGAATATCCAATTCTAGAGCTTGGTTCCAAGGTCGGGTCCGAATATATTGCTGTTTGTTAACAGGTAAACCAGGGGGCACGGGTAAAGTAAACAAAGGTAGCTGTATGTGTTCTAATATTTCAAAAGTGAAAAAGACACATTCCAGTGATTTCTTTCAGTTGTGAAACTTAATAGAAAATTTCGCTTTCCAATAAATCTCCATTTTGCTGTCGACTGAGACATCGGTAGTCAGGTGACTGCGATCGATTATAATTAGCATTACCATACCTCCATGTCAGGTGATGAGATCTGATTGGTCCACGTAACCATGATAAAATACTATTTATCCCCGCCTTGGAGGGAAATAAAATAAATTTCTTAGCGGGTAAATAAATCCCTTTTTTCCTCCGCTTCGATGCAAAAAACGCACGCTATTTCCGAATCATCGAAAGCCACGTGACAAATCACAAGTTAACCTCCGCTCAATCGAACAGCTGTTTACTATCAATTTTGAAATTGTTTTAATTCTTTTACAATGTCATATTAAAACATGTCGGTGAGATAAATCAAGTTTCATAATATAAAAAAGCAAATAATTAACAATTTCTTGAATTCCCGAATCAATCAAAGACTATAGCATTAGGATAACTAATAGAATTAATTCAAATTGCAATTTCTTACTGTGTAGACTTAGGCTCTGTCGCTCGATATCGTAAATAAAAATAAATAAATAAAGTTTGATTACAGTATATCATCTACATTATCAGTTGGCGCCATGTCCGGAGATAGCAGCCTCGAGGCTGTCCAAGATCTTCTTCCTTTGGTCTCACGGGTAAGCATGTGCACATTACAGTACAACGCGGGCAATTATTTACATTGTTGGGATTGTAAATGGGTACTATATAATTTTGCAGGTACAGCTTCAAACCCAGGCTTGGGTAAATAGAGGTTATCACGCGAGTGTGTTTCGGGATGGTAAATATCCTGCATTAGGAATAAACATTGTATTTAGCGAGCCTTGGCGAGCAAAATACATAGTGTTTATTCCTAATACAGGATATTTACCATCCCCAAACACACAAGCGAGATAACCTCTTTATCATATAATGTCATTCTTTAATTTTGTGCTTGAAAATCGCTTTCCCTCCCTCACAAACATTACCTAAACATTGCGAGTTTTCCTGGAATGCGCGCATTAATATTTATTAAGTCACAGGATAAGTGATGTGTCAGTCGGACAGTGACAGTAGCCAATATAGTTCCAACTGAAATCTGTTTCTTTCACAGTGGCGAAGCAAAATATACGCATAACAACAACAAAAAATTACTTGCATTTCGCGGCAATCCATCGGTCTGTCCGCTAGAGTAACTGCCCTTTGTCAAAGGGAAGCAACTCTAACCCTAGTCTATGAGACGTCATGGCCAATTATCTCTGTAGGTTATCCAGATTCCCGATGGTTAATTCTGACTCAATTGCCGAGTGACAAGGGCGACGTCATGTTTGTTTATAAACAGTGAAAGTAGTCCCTACTTGACCTTTGATATTTGCATCTCTATCCGCATATGACCCCAACGGATATCGTTTTTATCCGTTGGCTTTATCCTGCCGAAAAACCTACCCATTATATGATAAAGGTAAGTATTTAACATGTGCTTCAACTAGGCATTCCGCATGCTCTGATACCGTGAACGATATTGCTTGATTCACTGCTGTGTACCAACTCAAGTTCTCAATGTTAAGCTACATGGCTACTCAGTCATATTCTATTTGTCCACACTGTTGAGGGACTTCTGCATGTTTATTGAGAACAAGATTATTGAGGAGGTCAACTGTTCATATTTCCATGAAATGACTGATATATTGTCGATGTGACTTCATATTTGAACTCACATTGCTTTCATTTCTTGACTGAAATCGAGTATTGTAAATCTGATCAACATCTGTCGCCAGTTCCCCTCTGTTAGTGGCTCTGTAAGTGACTAAATGTCTTCTCTCTTCTATTTAGCCCGCTTAGAAGTACAAAGTCCTGGTTATTTGATGAAACAAAATCAAGCTACCGAGTTCGGAAACATGACATAAAAACAGAAATATAAAGGCCGTATACATAGGATTTATTGATTCTTAGCTTTATTCATAACAAACCAACATTTCCCAGGTATCTTGATTACGTTTGTAATCTGACAACCAATACTCCATGCTCGTCACAAGAGCCGACTTACGATACAAGGATGGTTACAGTATGTGACCTGGATGATTGTGTGTCATCGTGGCTCGTTACTCATGCTATCGACCACTATCTGGAATGACCCGACTTGATTGTTTACAGGCGACCATAGCATAGCTGAAATGTCGCCGACTGCGGCGAACATTAACAGTCTCTAAGTATCTGAATCCAGCTAACCATTGGTTGTTATCCAGGTTAGTAAAGAAGGCTAACAAGGAAATACTAACTGAAGACAACATCTGGGACCTCAACCCCAGAGAGAAGTGTCACAATGTGTGCCCAAGCTTTGAAAGGATGCTGACAGCAGGCAGGTTGAACCAAGACGCTCGCAGGTAATGGTAGACGTCTTCAAAATGAATCCCATTTGAACTCCATGTTAACACTTAGTAGTATGACTCGAGACAATATTTAACACGGATGCATCGCATAGCAATCTACAACACCAGAACTCATGTTTTGTGTTTTCTCATGTCATTATCGTTTCGGGTCATGGGCAGCCTTTCCGTCCGAGGCGTCGCTATGCAGAGTTGCGTCGCGTAGGCATGCTAGAAACCTACGTTCGTGGGTTCGAAGCCCAGATTCACTCTGATTATGTTTCTAGATTTGTCAGCACTATACCCGTGCTCGTGGGTTTCACGTCGGGATTTCCGCACACATAACACCGGCACGCCGTGATATGACTGACAAAAATTGTTCTCATCTATGTAATAAGGACGTTATATGAGGTTGATTTATAAGCCCTGAGCCTCACATAGAATAAAATTGCGTATTAGTGAAATCATTCTTGTGGACATTACATAATGTGATTGAGGTATATCCACAGAAATCTGTGTCAGCATAGCAAATTGTTTCGCTTTGACAAGTCAGGTCAATGAGCATGGTTCTGTGACCTCATAAACCTCATTTGAGCAAAGATGTCAGGATAAGATGCGGTATTTAAATATATATTGATAATAATGTAGGTTTGACGAGTGCCATTTCATTTTCAGATGGAAAAATGATAAGTCGAACAACATCCTTCCACAATCATCATCATCATCATCATCATCATCATCATCATCATCATCAACTAACCGTGGCTCCAACGACACTATCAGACACAGGAAAGAGAAGAAATCATCACATGGGAATGCTAGTCACGTGACGCATTTATATGACTCATCGATGACGCCATCAGGACAGGGAGTAGATCCTGCTGACACAGGGGTCAGCATCACACGCCCATCTCTCAAGGTTGCCATACTGAAGACCTTTTGGAGACAATTATTCTGCGCCATGGGTCTAAAGCTCCTGCAGTATTTTACATTCTGGATCACAAACCCACATTTCATGCTGTGAGTAAATGTGGGACATACCATTTAATATTCGGGACACGCATTTGTCTGTGACCAGGGGAGCCGAACACGTGGGGGAGTTTGTTTTTGTAGTCATTTTCTTCAATAATTTGTTTGTTTGTTTGTTTGTTTGTTTTTCTTCAATTATGTGTTTGTTTGTTTGTTTGTTTGTTTGTTTGTTTGTTTGTTTGTTTGTTTATTTATAGCCCTGCCCCAAAGAATGTCAAAAAGTAGTTGGTCCCAAATACACATGTTTATCCAATTCTTATATTTCATATTCAGATGTAACGTTGCAGTGGAAATGCTAATAATTCATACAATTAGGATTGATGATGAACATTATTATTGAATAATTCCGACATGGTGCATGTAGCGTGAAAAATAGGCATCTATACTAATAATATAGTGCATCTATTTTCGACAACTCACATGGGCATATATGCCCACAAAAAATTGGTGATATCGGCAATATATTAAAGCCGGAAGGTAAGTTTGGTTTGAAAGGCAAAGCAACATTTGCCTGGCCTTCTACCTGAAGTGAGTGAGTGAGTGAGTGAGTATAGTTTTACGCCACTTTTAGCAATATTCCAGCAATATCACGGCGGGGGACACCAGAAATGGGCTTCACACATTGTACCCATGTCGGGAATAGAACCCGGGTCTTCGGCGTGACGAGCGAACGCTTTAACCACTAGACTACCCGACCGCCTCGCCTTTTACCTGAAGTCTGTATCAGAAGTGTTTCAATCTCCTTTGTGCTCTGTCGAACAAATATGGCAAATTTAAAGCCATAAAATAGGAATAAACATTCTGTAAAACATTCCTTGCCATGTTTATACCGATATGTATTTTTAATCTGAGTCTATTCAAACTTTATGTTATAAAATATGTAAATTAAATAATAATCTTCTTTATAAAAAATCATAAGTTTCACAATGTGACATGATTCATATTTCAGGGTTCTCATGGACGTGGCCGATGACACTGCCTCCAGTGCATGGACTGGCGTGCTCCTCTCCACGGGGCTTCTGGTACTTCTCGTGACAGGAGGGCTTTTTGTGGAACACGCTTTCTTCAACAACCAAACGCTAGAATTGCACCTTCGGTCATCTCTCATGACATCGGTATTCAAGAAGGTAACGGAAATGTCCCTCGATAACCACACCCAGTCGTCTAAGGCGCCACGATTCGATGTGCAGAGTTGCGTCCCTTGGGCACGCCAGAAACCTATGATTGTGGGTTCGAATCCCGGTTCGCCCCGATTATGTTTCTAGGTTTGTCAGCACCATACCCGTCCTCGTGGTTTTCACCGAAGTGGTTTACGTCTAAGACCTGCATCACTTCGGGCTTTCCTCCAACATTAAGTTGACACGCCGCGATATAACTGGAATACTGTTAAAAGCGGCGTTAAACCCAACTCACTCACTCACTCCTAGGTTTGTCAGCACCATATCATGCACGTGGTTTCACCAAAGTCGTAAACGACCTGCATCACTCTGGGTTTGATATGACTTGAACACATCAAAAGCGACGTCAAACCCAAATTACCCACTCACTCACTGCATATTAAATATAGCAATAGTGCTATTCAAGGTTCCTTGATTTCGCTACAACATTTAGAATTGAACACGCCGTGAGGCTACACCTGTATGACCGGCACAAGTGGTAGGACCCGACGAGACCACACATATATAAACTGGTGACATGTGTAGATGGTTGCATGGCAGTTTATAATACATATTTCTTGTTCTATCTAAACGCTGTTGTTCCTCTCCAGGCAATGAATCTCCACTGGAGGTCAAGGAAGAAATACTCTATGGGCGAGATGACAAACTACATGTCCAGTGATGCTGAAACCATCGCCTACCACCTCGCCCATCTCACAGAAGTCGTGTTCACTCCACTCCATTTTATTGTCGTCTTCTACCAGCTGTTCAGCATCCTTGGTCCATCAGCAGGCTTTGGCCTCTTCATTATGCTGCTTATAATGCCTATCAATGTGTATATCGCAGTGAGGATGCGATCTTTGTTCGATCAGAACTCTAAAAACAAGGACGAAAAGATGAAACTTCTCAATGAGGTCCTCACGGGGATGAAGGTATTGGATATTTACCGTTTGAATGATGAAGACATAAGCATCTTCATAGCTTAGGAAACGTTTGCTTGAAAGACTGGTTGCTCGTCACGCCGAAATTTCGCTTTCTATTCCCCGTGGGTTTGGTCAGTATCTTACGAAATCTATTCAAAACCAGAGTCCGTGGTATTATTCAGGCCATATTATAAGCGCGTGTTAATGAATAAATATCAAATACAGTAAACTACGGTTATAACGAACTCAACGGGACTACTAATTTTAGTTCGTTATAACCGTAGTTCGTTATAAGCATATATACATCATAACTACAGCAAATAGTCGGGACCAAAAAGTAAGTTCGTTATATCCGTCAGTTCGTTATAAGCGTGTTCGTTATAACCGTAGTTTACTGTAGTGATGATACCAGATGTTTGCGAAAAGGTAAGCATATCCTGCCCCACCGGTGGCACACATCACAAACACATGCAAACTTAAGCCAACTGTTCACCTGAAAACAACACTGGAACGCAGGATTCAAATCAAAGTGGGGAATTCCATAGGGCATCAGCTTATTCACTGATACGTCAAATTTTGAAACGTCCTCCGCATGTGTACAATAACTCCTTTGCAAGCTTTACTCAGGCCTTGAATGTTGAAACCCTGATTGACCAACATTTCAGCAAGAGTCGCATGACGCTCTTAAAAATATTTGTAGGCAGAGCATGCTTTAATGGTACCCCAAAAGTTGTGTAAACAGCCAAGATCGGAGCTGCAGGAATGTAAATACATTCGGGAAATCCCTGCCATTTCATGCCATATATTATTAAATTCTACAAAACATAATTACCACTGCCTCCCAAAGTGTATGTTTTACATTGTTTTGTGGAATGGTCATAACAATTCCAGTACTTTGATGGCGATGGATCAGTTGTTGTACAATACATGTATATAATTGGATACACATCTCCTCGAGGCAAGGGAGTTTAACTGACTTTAAGAGACCATTTTCCACCCTTGCCGAGCAAGGCTGAAATTTCGCTCTGGCTATTACGAGTTATGTCCCGTCTCTGTCCCCTACTGACCAATCAGATTCCACCTCTCATATCACTTGAATTTGCTTTAAGCAAAACAGCGGCGCCTTGTCAAGACGATCTGATCGATAATAAAGATCTTTATTGTAATAAAGTACGGGGTTTTGATTGGACTGTGCATGGAGTCGTCAGTCCAGCCAAATTATAATTCCATAATTCCAGCCTAGTTCGGCAAGGGGGGGAAACTGGACTTTTAATGTCAGTTAACTCCCTTGCCTCGGGAAGATGTGGATACAAGAAACGGGTGATTTGTGACTTATTACTGCATTATTAGCATCTCCACACCCGTAAATGGGTGTAGAAGGTCGATATAGGTGTAATAGGTACAACAGGTCCTCAGCAACCCATGCGCGCTGTAAAAGGCGACTATGTTTGTAGTAAGAGGCGACTAACGGGATCGGGTGGTCAGGCTTGCTGACTTGGTTGATGCATGTCATTGTATCCCAATTGCCTGATCGATCCTCATGATGTCAATCACTGGATTGTCTGGTCCAGACTCGATTATTTACAGACCGCCATCATATAGCTGGAATAATGCTGAGTGCGGCGTTAAACAACAAACAAACAAACACATATTACCACGTGTATTCTGATCTTGTAATGACAATAATTTTGGAAACAATACTCTACAAGAACGTCCTTCCTAGGTACTGAAGCTTTATGCCTGGGAGAAGTGCTTTGGAGACAAGCTTGATGCAGCCAGAAATAAGGAGTTGGTGGTCCTAAAGCAGTTGTTTAATACAAGGGCGTTCACCGTCTTCAGCTGGAACGCTGCGCCTTTTGTGGTATGTTAACAGACCTACTAGACAGGCATCAGTTCATACTTCCAGTTATACAGGTAGGTAACATCAGAGACGTACCCTAGTAGACACATGCAACTGTGTTTCTACAAATATATCATGCGTATAGTTAAGAAATGAAATATACCTGGACATCATCTTTTCGCTGTTAGTTGATGTTTAGCCCCAGATTTGTTTCTGCTGGTAAATTTAAGTCCCTCTAGTTTCATCAGAATTTAAGTTGCAATTATAAATTGACACCATGAAATACATGAGTGTGGCTTAAGTGAGTGATTTTTCGAACTTCAAATGAAAATGTAAGTATAAATCCGTCACCCAACATGTTTTTTACCCTATATTTGTAGTTTTGTCTACATTTCCTTTGAGTGAGTGAGTGAGTGAGTATGGTTTTACGCCGCTTTTAGCAATATTCCAGCAATATCACGGCGGGGGACACCAGAAATGGGCTTCACACATTGTACCCATGTCGGGAATCGAACCCGAGTCTTCAGCGTGACGAGCGAACGCTTTAACCACTAGGCTACCCGACCGCCCCTCCTTTGAAAATAAGCTTGAGACAAAGACTCATGTTTAAATATTGGAACAGCGCTTCCTGAAAACCTCTAAAATCCTCATTTCTGACATATTTCCTACCTATACATTTAGTGTTGCTACAAGTACATAACACTCAATTGTCCTCATTCATATTAACTCAATGACATCTAATAATTTTGTTTTAACCATTTCTGAACGCTGTATAAGTACATTACTCAGATCCCGTGGGCCTGAAACGGCCTTCATCGTTCCTCGTCCTTGCGCGAAATCCAAAAATGGACGTCATGTGCACCCGTTTTTTACCCTTTCCCGTTTTGAGTTTAGAGCTACTCATGATGTCTTTTCCTTTGTCTAGATTTCCATAGTGATGTTCTGTGGCTTCTTCTACTTGAATGAAGACAGTATTTTGACCCCTAAATCAGCATTCGCCGTTGTGTCTCTCCTAAATCTACTCCGATATGCCATCAACCAAACGCCTGAAGTTATCTTCGATCTCATTAAGGTAAGAACTGGCCCCGCAATGAGTGAGTGAGTGGGTTGGGTTTAACGCCGCTTTTAACAGTATTCCAGTTATATCGCGGCGTATCAGCTTAATGTGGGAGGAAAGCCTGAAGTGATGCAGGTCTCAGACGTTTACCACTTCGGTGAAACCCACGAGCACGGGTATGGTTCTGACATAATCGGGGCGAACCGGGATTCGAACCCACAATCATAGGTTTCTGTCGTGCCCAAGGGGCGCAACTCTGCACAGCGAATCGCGGCGCCTTAGACGTCTGGGCCACCCGTGCCCCCGGCCCCGCAATGAAACACAATCATGCCACATTGTATAATTGTACTTAATACGGTAAGAATTGTACTATGAAAACTTTACTTATACACGTAATCTAAATGTTCGCTGGGACAAACAGGAGAGGGAAGCAGTACTCACTTGTATTTGTTCCAGACTGACGTCAGCATCCAGAGACTACAGAAGTTTTTCAGGGAAGAAGAATTTGATACAAACCCGGATCAGTGCGGAAATACGAAAGGTACATTCATGTATGCCATGGAAACTGTAAACTGTAATCTGAAAAGAAAACAATATGTGAAGACAGTAGATATTTCTTGCTTTACAATGTGAATAAATTTATCTGATGGTCATGAGCAAATGTTACATTTGGAATATCGTTGGTTTTCTATGTTCACTGAGAAGAGGATATAGAATATAACATTAAACCATGACATATCTTACAATGTGCTTGATGAAGACTGTATGAATATCGACATAGGAAAAGAGTTAACCGTAACGTGTACATCTGAACCAAAGAGACCCTTGAAGACCCGGATTAGAACTACTAGCCTTCCAGACTCGCTTACTGGTTAACAATTGCATAGATCGATGTTCATAGTGAGGGAGAGATTGAGTATTAGCGGTTTACGCCGCTTTTAGCAATATTCCACCAATATCACGGCTGGGGACACCAAAAATAGGCTTCACACATTGTACCCATGTCGGGAATTGAACCCGGGTCTTCGGCGTGACGAGCGAACGCTTTAACCACTGGGCTACCCGACCGCCCCTTCGATGTTCATAATGTCAGTCACTGGATTGTTTGGTCCAGACTCGATTATTTACAGACAGCCGTCCCACGTCGTTGAGTCGATGTTACACAACAAACAAACACACTAAACCAAAGAGTATGTCAGTGTTTAGAATATGTATTTTGCAGGTGTAGCAATAGAGATGAGAAAAGCTTCTTTCTCATGGCATGACAACCACGAGCCAACACTAAGAAAGTGAGTCACCTGTCACCAACACACGGAATTATATAGTTTATGATATCCTACATATATGCCTCATATAACTTGAAATGTATTACATATAGACCTTATATAACTTGTGGTGTACTACATATATGCCTTATATAACTTGAGATGTACTACATATAGACCATATATTACTTGAAATGTACTACATAGGCATTATATAACTTGAGATGTACTACATATAGACCTTATATAACTTGATATGTAGTACATATAGACCTTATTTAACTTGAGATGTACTACATATAGACCTTATATAACTTGATATGTACTACATATAGACCTTATATAACTTCAGATGTACTACATATATGCCTTATATAACTTGAGATGTACTACATATAAACCTTATATAACTTGAGATGTACTATACATAGAGCTTATGTAACTTGAGATGTGCTACATATAGGCATTATATAGCTTGAGATGTACTACACATAAAGCTTATGTAACTTGGGATGTGCTACATATAGGCATTATATAGCTTGAGATGTGCTACATATAGGCCTTATATAGCTTGAGATGTACGCTTTATCATTTCAGGATAAACATGAGCATATACGAGAATAGTTTAGTGGGCGTGGTTGGCCACGTTGGATCTGGTAAGACGTCCCTGGTCGCAGCTGTTCTTGGTGAGATTGACAAGGTGACAGGTCATCTCGGAGTGCAGGTTAGTCTGGTTTTTGTGGTGACCACTGGATTAATAATCAAAGCCTATTCCACCCTTTAGTAAATAAAGCTCTTTCCTGTCCAGGGCGATTGGAACTATAGTTGTTATTACATTTACTTGCCATGTCGAAGATCCCAATATTAATACAATGTGTGAGGTCTGTTTGTGGCAGAATATGCTTGTCGTAAGCGTCAACCAGATTGGATAATGTGGTCAAGCCATGTTAGTTTGGCTGACTAACGCTCATCGTCGACGATGTCTTTGACCGTTGCTCGTGTTTTCAGTCTCTGGTTTACCAGGTCTCAACTTCATTAGATACTTGTCGCTGTGATAAAACTTGCATAATTTGTTAACTTGGTAAGATTTATTGAACCATTCACTCACTCACAGGGTCGTATAGCCTATGTCTCACAACAAGCATGGATCCAGAACGACTCCTTGAAGAACAACATCTTATTTGGCAAACCGTTGGACGAAGGGCTGTACAAGAGGGTGATCCACGCCTGTGCTTTACAACCTGATATAGATGTCCTGTCTGATGGCGACTTGACAATGATCGGAGAGCGGGTCAGTTCCAACTTTGGATGACATTGGCAGAAGTTTAGATTATCTCAATGAGCCCGTTAATGGCATTATTTTAATATTTTAATTGCAACAGAAACTTATGTTCCTATATAATATGTCATCAGTGTATCAAATAGAGGGATGACAGATGCAGATAGTGTCTTTAGCCAGAGTTGACTACCGAGTCTTGTGTATTCTATATGTTCCCTATCTGATCATCAGGGTATCAAATTGAGCGGAGGACAGAAGTAGAGAGTGTCTCTAGCCAGAGCTGTCTACTGTGTCTTGTGCATTCTATATGTTCCCTATCTGGTCATCAGGGTATCAAATTGAGCGGAGGACAGAAGTAGAGAGTGTCTCTAGCCAGAGCTGTCTACTGTGTCTTGTGTATTCTATGTGTTCCCAATCTTGTCATCAGGGCATCAACTTGAGTGGGGGACAGAAGCAGAGAGTGTCTCTAGCCAGAGCTGTCTACAACGACGCCGACATTTACCTCTTTGACGACCCCCTCAGTGCTGTGGACAGCCACGTGGGCAAACACATCTTTGACAACGTGATAGGTGCCGGCAGCATGTTACGGAACAAGGTAGTTTCCATGGAGTATCCAGTAATGACTAATCACGTTAATTCTGATAGGGGGTATCTGTATGAAATGCCACTGGACCTCCTACAAAGACAGTTAATTCTACCAGATAATGAACTACTGATGAAAGGAAAGTATGCATCGACTTAGACTGCTTATAAAAAGAATTCGAGAAAATGTACACATGTCATTTGGAATGTATTAAGTTCAATCATTTATGGTACAGCAAGCCAAAAGACAATTTTATGGCACTCGGGATGAAGGAATAAGAAGCTATCAATCACATCTTCGGACTTAAATGTCGCTTCACAAAACAGACGATGAAAATTTTATAACAATTGAAAGCTTCAGTAAGGGCAATAATGTCTTGTGTGTCCTCCTCGGGCGTCCAGACAGGCCTGGAAACAAACGCATGATCGATGATGTAAGCCTTCTGATGACTAATTGGGTATGCGGTCCAACCCCTCCAATAAAGCAGGTTCCAGCTGTTGTACGTTGCTCGGCAGGATTCAGCTGTTGTACTTTGCTCGGCAGGTGTGAATGTTGTACGTTGCTCAGCAGGTGTGGATGTTGTACGTTGCTCGGCAGGTGTGGATGTTGTACGTTGCTCGGCAGGTGTGGATGTTGTACGTTGCTCAGCAGGTGTGGATGTTGTACTTTGCTCGGCAGGTGTGAATGTTGTACGTTGCTCAGCAGGTGTGGATGTTGTACGTTGCTCGGCAGGTGTGGATGTTGTACGTTGCTCGGCAGGTGTGGATGTTGTACTTTGCTCGGCAGGTGTGAATGTTGTACGTTGCTCAGCAGGTGTGGATGTTGTACGTTGCTCGGCAGGTTCCAGCTGTTGTACGTTGCTCGGCAGGTTCCAGCTGTTGTACTTTGCTCGGCAGGTGTGAATGTTGTACGTTGCTCAGCAGGTGTGGATGTTGTACGTTGCTCGGCAGGTGTGGATGTTGTACGTTGCTCGGCAGGATTCAGCTGTTGTACTTTGCTCGGCAGGTGTGAATGTTGTACGTTGCTCAGCAGGTGTGGATGTTGTACGTTGCTCGGCAGGTGTGGATGTTGTACGTTGCTCGGCAGGTGTGGATGTTGTACGTTGCTCGGCAGGATTCAGCTGTTGTACTTTGCTCGGCAGGTGTGAATGTTGTACGTTGCTCAGCAGGTGTGGATGTTGTACGTTGCTCGGCAGGTTCCAGCTGTTGTACGTTGCTCGGCAGGTTCCAGCTGTTGTACGTTGCTCGGCAGGTTCCAGCTGTTGTACGTTGCTCGGCAGGTTCCAGCTGTTGTACTTTGCTCGGCAGGTGTGAATGTTGTACGTTGCTCAGCAGGTGTGGATGTTGTACGTTGCTCGGCAGGTGTGGATGTTGTACGTTGCTCGGCAGGTGTGGATGTTGTACGTTGCTCAGCAGGTGTGGATGTTGTACTTTGCTCGGCAGGTGTGAATGTTGTACGTTGCTCAGCAGGTGTGGATGTTGTACGTTGCTCAGCAGGTGTGGATGTTGTACGTTGCTCAGCAGGTGTGGATGTTGTACGTTGCTCGGCAGGTGTGGATGTTGTACGTTGCTCGGCAGGTGTGGATGTTGTACGTTGCTCGGCAGGTGTGGATGTTGTACGTTGCTCAGCAGGTGTGGATGTTGTACTTTGCTCGGCAGGTGTGAATGTTGTACGTTGCTCAGCAGGTGTGGATGTTGTACGTTGCTCGGCAGGTGTGGATGTTGTACGTTGCTCGGCAGGTGTGGATGTTGTACTTTGCTCGGCAGGTGTGAATGTTGTACGTTGCTCAGCAGGTGTGGATGTTGTACGTTGCTCGGCAGGTGTGGATGTTGTACGTTGCTCGGCAGGTGTGGATGTTGTACGTTGCTCAGCAGGTGTGGATGTTGTACGTTGCTCGGCAGGTTCCAGCTGTTGTACGTTGCTCGGCAGGTGTGGATGTTGTACGTTGCTCGGCAGGTGTGGATGTTGTACGTTGCTCGGCAGGTTCCAGCTGTTGTACGTTGCTCGGCAGGTTCCAGCTGTTGTACGTTGCTCAGCAGGTGTGGATGTTGTACGTTGCTCGGCAGGTGTGGATGTTGTACGTTGCTCGGCAGGTGTTGATGTTGTACTTTGCTCAGCAGGTGTGGATGTTGTACGTTGCTCAGCAGGTGTGGATGTTGTACGTTGCTCGGCAGGATTCAGCTGTTGTACGTTCCTCGGCAGGTGTGGATGTTGTACGTTGCTCGGCAGGTGTGGATGTTGAACGTTGCTCGGCAGGTGTGGATGTTGTACGTTCCTCGGCAGGTGTGGATGTTGTACGTTGCTCGGCAGGTGTGGATGTTGTATTATGTGTCGCTGAAGATGACCTCACAGATCGATGAGAGGCCGGGTGAGTGTGACGGCGAGGGTAACACGGGTACGTTATTGATATTGAGAAAATCCGGATTATTCGAGCCGTGTAGGGCATTGCATTGTCCTGTTAGAACAGTGTCCAATGTGGCTGTCTTCTGAGAAGGGAAAGGACAACTAGCTGCAGAATGACACGACGAGCATGGGTATGATGCTGACAAACATAGAAACATAATTAGAGTGGAACGGGATTCGAACTCACCATCATAGGTGTCTGGAGCTCCTTAGGGACTCTACGTAGTGAATACCGACGCCTTATACGACTGGGCCAGCCGAGGCCCCCTAGTGGTACCTCACAACGTGTGTTACATGACTGGACCACCCCTCCCCCAGTGATTCCCATTACATACAGACCACACCCGTGGTCAAGTGTTAGAGCATCTGCCCGGAGAGCGGAAGGTTGGGGGTTCGAACCCCGGCTGCGTCATACCAAAAGACCTCACCTCACCTCACCTCACCTCACCTCACCTCACCTCACCTCACCTCACTAGCTACTAAAACCATACACCTGCATCGGACGGCGATGAAACAATGATATCGAAGTGTTCTCCAAATGCGCACCTTGAACGCAAACACATGAAATGTGTGCAACGTAGTAAGTTAAATCGTTGTATTCATAACTTGTTGTCTACACAGACACGAATCTTGGTGACGCACAACGTCCGATATCTACCTGGCGTTGACAACATCATCGTCCTTGAGAGGGGCACGGTCGCACAGACAGGGTCTTTCCGCGACCTTCTCAACAGCGAGGGGGCGTTTACCCAGGTTCTCAAGTCGTGCCTGGCAGAGTACGAGGACAATAGAGATGATATCGAAGGTAAACTACCATACATGTATTTCTCTATGTCTTGCTCCGATAGTGAACAGCCGATTTGAGGCCGGGGAATGACAGTAAATTGTTTTCAAAGATGCCGAAGAAACATATATTTTTACACATTTTTATTTATATTTCTTATATTTTACAAACATGCAATAGTTGATAATGTAACACTCTTATATTGAACAATGGATGTGGTTAATATTATCACCAGAAGATTGATTAACCTTTTCGACTTCAACATGACAATCAACCTTAACGCGAATATTCCTCATATCTTAGTATATATTAAATCACCACATCTGTAGCTGATTTTTGAACAATATTTACCCAAAGACAAATCATTCTTTGGCGATTTTTCTGTCTTAATTAAGTCGTTTAACAGGAGAAAAGGGCTGGCCATTATAATGTTTGAGTGAATGTTGAATGTTGTTTAACACTACATATTCCAGTAATATTACGACAGGCTGTAAGTAATTGAATCTGCGCAAAACAATCCAATGACTGAAAATGTGCCGTCACACCATGACTAGAATTCTTTGAAACGTTCTGACATTTACAAAACAGCGTGTTCGTGTTTTCATACATAAGTCAGGTTGATACCCGCCTTGAAATAGTTTCAAAACTACAAACTGAACCGAAAACTGAACATTCTTTTTCAACAGATTTGGCAACTGACGATGATGATTTATCAAATCAATTGAAAAGTACACTAAAGAGGCTGAAAAGGTTTGTAAAATTACCTCTCGTTATCTGTGGTGGTGGTAATCATACACGTTATCATAGCAAATAGTAATCAGGCAGCTTTGGGTTGTATACTCCCCAGGGAGCTGACAATGAACATCGAGTGCCCACTGATCCATTGACCGGGGTAATAACAGTGTAGCGCTATGAGCATCCACTTGGTGAATGGAATCTGGCGCATTATAAATGCTTATTATTATTATTATCTTCACTGAAAATATTCGGTGAATGTTTGATGCTGTAGTACACATAGTTTAATCTATAATAGACACCCGATCTTAGTAATTAATCTGGGGGTGCGGGTGGCCCAGTCGTAGGCGCCGCGTTTCGCTGTGCAGAGATGCGTCCCTTCGGCACGCCAGAAACCTATGAATGTGGGTTCGAATCCCGGTTCGCCCCGATTATGTTTCTAGGTTTGTCAGCACCATACCCGTGCTCGTGGGTCTCATCGAAGTGGTAAACGTTCAGAGACCTGCATCACTTTGGGCTTTCCTCCCACATTAAGCTGACATGACGTGATATAACTGGAATACTATTAAAAGCGGCGTTAAACCCAACTCACCAACCCACTAATTAATCTGTCATGGCATATGTTTGCCATATGAAACAATCGGTTGTTCTTTAGGTCGACAAATTAATTATCAATATATTTATTTCTGTAAAGTATTAGGGTCAATAGTGTTGAAGATTGCAAAATATAGTAAATGTACAATGGCATCAATACCTAGACTTCAAGGCTCATTTGGGTTATTTCATATTTTCCTTCAACAGACATAATTCACATAACACACTGCAACCATACACTCGGAAGTACTTTCCTAAGTGATCTAAAATATCCCGAAGAGCTGCAAAGTGCAATATGCAAAAAGCTGAACTGGTGTTCTCTGACTGCTGCGCCTGCTAATTAGTGTCGTCAACTATACACAGGTCGCAGACAGGGGGCTGGTTTATAGGGATGATAGTGCATAGCTGGTAGTGTTGAATTAACAGTTTCCAATTATACTATGTCGTTATTGTATCGAAAAAACACCTGTACACGCCCCCCCCCCCCCCCCCCCCCCCCCCTCACACACACACACACACTCACTGTGATATGTTTACCAACACCATCTTCCCTCACTGTGATATGTTTACCAACACCATCTTCCCTCACTGTGATATGTGTACCAACACCATCTTCCCTCACTGTGATATGTTTACCAACACCATCTTCCCTCACTGTGATATGTTTACCAACACCATCTTCCCTCACTGTGATATGTTTACCAACACCATCTTCCCTCACTGTGATATGTTTACCAACACCATCTTCCCTCACTGTGATATGTTTACCAACACCATCTTCCCTCACTGTGATATGTTTACCAACACCATCTTCCCCCACTGTGATATGTTTACCAACACCATCTTCCCTCACTGTGTGATATGTTTACCAACACCATCTATATGCAGTGAGGAGCACTCCACTGAGCCTGGATACGAAAGGCAGTCATCGACGACCTCCAGACACATGTCTACGTCTGAGGAGACTGAAGATACGACTGGCGCTGTCGCTGACGAGGAGGAGACGAAAGATATTAGTGGCAACGTAGGTTACACATACATACACATTGCAAGAATGTTCGATCTATCCAAAATAATAGGGGATGGGTAGAGTAGAACAGCCATTTATAAAGTTTATAAAGATTAACTCCAAGCCCTACATGTCATTAAAATAAAAGCGACACTATAATATGTACATTCTCCAAGTTTTGATTCATTTTTTTATTTTATGAGTGTGTAAATGTTTGTGGTACTTTTTTTCACGTACAGGAAAAATGGATCCTGCTTTTTGACTATATGAAAGCCTTTGGTCAATGGCATATGTTAGGGCTGGTTGTGGCCTTTGCGCTCTACTATATCCTGTTTGTTTGGGCCAACATCTGGCTCGCTAATTGGACCGAGGACCCTTTGTTGAAGGGGGCTAGGGTTGAGGACCTGGTGAATGTAACACGGGAGGACATATGGAGGATCAACATGAAGTACCTTGGAGTTTACAGCGGATTTGGACTGGTCATGTGTGAGCATTGATATTTTCATTTATTAGACTTTTGTCTTTGTTATTGTATCCCGAAGTTAGGCTGGGCTATACTCGAGATATATATATGAGCCTGATCTGTAAATAATGGAGTCCGGGTCAGGCAAACGAGTGACCATCCTCTATATCTTCAGGACTCGCGTTTCGGTAAACCTGCACTAACCCCTTGATTCATTCCCATCATCTCAAATACACACACGCACGCACGCACACACGCACGCACGCACACACAAACACACACACACACACCACACACACACACCACACACACACACCACGCACACCACACGCACGCACGCACGCACGCACACACACACACACCACACACCACACACACACACACACACACACACACACACACACACACACACACACCGGACCGTCTATATACACGATATCGTGCAAATAGTGGACCAATGCCGTGCAATATACACGACTGGAAAACTCTCTTCTCCGCCGTGAGACGCGAACGTTGATTGGTCTATTAATTTCCTACACAACAAACCTGGTTCCCCGGTCTCAATTGCGCTACGCTACATTGTATATTGCTCCCCAAAATGTTAACTCTACACCATAGTGCGGGTATCGTTTCTAAAAAGATATATCAAAGATAATAAAAATTCTTTACTTGTTGATAAAATTGTAATTTCTTCTCTAAACATCTGTGAAGATATAAAGGTTTGCTACGGTAGATAAACCAGGTATCACAGTTAATTAAAAGTTTTGCAGTCGTACAGACATGTTGTGAAAATAGAGATCATAAATATTTTGAGCAAACATACTTTACCTAATGAGATACTACTACGAACCAGAATATTTATAGTTTAGTTTTGTTGAACCAATTAAAATCAAAACATAATTTCCCCTATTAAAATACTACGAACCTTCTGGTAAAATAAAATTTACGAACTTCTGTAAAAGAGCAAGCAATCTGAAGCAAGCATTTATTTTCCGCGTTTATATTGTTAAGTCTGTGGCTATTTATACTGAAAAGATCAGGGAGTTAACTCCCTTGGAAAGTGTTTGCGTGCGCTTCAGTCGTGTACCTGACTGATGCAATCGGGTTGTCAAAGCAAGCTGAAACATTTCGTATTTCATACTGTCTGTCTGAAAGTATCATGTCAATTTGCTGCATGACTTGCCAATCCATTCAATAATTGGAATCCATTTTTAAAAATTAGTAATTTTCCAAACCCATGCACAAAGTTCAAACGCGTATATAGAGGATATAATGACATTCCCAATGCGATAAGATATGTTTATATGCTTCTGTGTTCGTAATTTACAATGTATTGATAAATAATGAACGTATCGTCGTAGAATTACATGGCATAAATGTTGTTTATGTTTTTTTAATTAATTGTTTTCATATGTATTAAAAATGTCGCACAAGCATTACTTAATTTGGAAGATAGAAGTTTCAATGTTTCATAATTGGCAGAAATGTCCGTTCTAAATTTGATAGTTGAACGCATATTCAGTTTGGTTGTTATACGCAATGATGTGATCTTTGTTTCATATGTTAACAATCGATAGGGGCTGAAGATGATCGCACTTCTGTTGCGTAAAACCTTTTTTGGCGTTGACCCAAACGTCCAAAATCCCTTAGATTACATTTTGCTAATCTAGACAAGATATGATTTGTTGAAAATAGCGTGCACGTTTCAATGCATGTGTGCTACTAGATATTTTGCTCACGTATAATGTCACTGCGAGTAACTTCCTCAATGGTATATACTGTTCACAATGAAGTAGATCACCCACCCGCTCCTTGATTTCCATCAGCCAATTTGATTGGCTACGCTACTCAGTCTAACGGGCCAATTAGAATGCGAGTTACAAACCAGCCTCAATGTTGGGTGATATCATAACATGGCGACCATGGCGACCAGTCCCACTGATTTCGACACTTTGAAAAACTGACTGGCACGCAAGAGAAAGCCCTCATAAATCTTTCTCCCTTGCCCATCTCGGCTTTTGATTAGCCAGTAAAATGTTCATGAACATCAAGGACGGATAATTTGAGATCGCGAGAACCACGGGAATGGGGACGACCGGCTATGGCTCTTTGGGCACGCCAGAAACCTAGGATTGTGGGTTCGAATCCCGGTTCGCCCCATTATGTTTCTAGGTTTGTAAGTACCACACCCGTGCACGTGTGTTTCACCGAAGTGGTAAACGTCTGAGACCTGCATCACGTCGGGCTTTCCTACCACACGTCGTGATATAACTGGAATACTGTTAAAAGCGGCGTTAAACTCAACTCACTCACTCACACTATTTAAATATTCACAAAAAGCGTAAACAGCATGACGTGTCTCGTTTAAGAATATGCCTGATTCTGCTCTTGAAGTTATTCGCTTGCTGTTGAATATGTGATGACGGTCTGGATCTGTTCCAAAGGATTGGAGACATGCCATAAGTATACCTGTACCAAAGCCAGGTCAAGGCACCACCCTGCTTCGTTTTACCAATTTCCTTTACCTCTACTTTATGCAAAATCAATCAGGATTTCGAAGAGGCCACTCATGCATGTAAGACTACAGACAGAAGCTCCGAAAGTAATTTGCAATCAGGAGTACACGGGTTTACGAAATTTTGAAACAAGACACAATTGTGAATACTTGATATCTCTCATGTGATATTGTAGGGGTTCAATGTCATGGAGGATAATAAAATAGCGGATAATCTTGCTAAATTGTTAAAGGATGAGGTTGAGGCCTTGCCAAAGGATTTTCGAATATGCCATTGCGCAGTCGGTTTCCATAAAATTGCAACAATGTGGGATGTTGGTTCGACTGGGATCATATGTACAGACTCTGTCTATTAGTTACACAAAATAGTAAAAGAGACGTGATGAAGTTGTTGTAACTGCGCTTCGTCTTGGTCACATGTCACTAAATGCCGACACAGGTGTTATTGATAAGGAGGCATCTCATTTGTGTGACCATTGTAATAAGACGCCTTCCACAGTTCAACATTACCTATTGGGATGTCCGCGTTGTATTAACATAAGACACAATCTTAGAAGTGCGGCGAAAAGAGAAACATTTTTCCTTCCGGCAATATCGGGCCCTAACATGCTCTGTGGTTCCATTCAAAGGGCATACTACAGCATGTGACTGCATCAGGCAAATATGGGACAATCTAATGAGGTCCTCTGGTAGAAATGAACTTTGCGCCAAATAGATGTATCAATTTAAATCGTTTGAACATTTCTCTTTTTCTTATAGTTTCTGCTTCCTTTCAAAACAACTTGTGTTTGATTGATGTTTTAATCCATTTCAATAAGCTGACGATCCTGTCATTTCATCAGAGTAATCGGGTACTATGTCAGATTGTTTATATGTTTCGTTCAGTGAATCTACTTGTATTTTTTATTGTAAAACATTGTATGATGTGTTGGGCGCAAATAGACTTATTTCTTGTCCAAGTCGCCCTGAAGCTATACAACCACGGGAATGGATCCAGGCGTTAGTGTGGGTTTACCGAAATACTAGCTCTGGATATATAGAGGATTACAAGTTACTGAATAAAAAAAGCAACTTCTCACGCTGTTGGAGTACGTATACGATGACATGCAGCCAGCAATAACAAATAACTAGCCGACCAAATCCCATTTAATTTCTTACCTGGTATCATCACAGCCTGATAGTGATTCATAATAAATGTAAAACACAGAGTTGGTTGTACGATTCCGTTGTACGATTCCGACTGTATCACGAGCATGTGTTTATAAGAATCACTATCAAATAGTGATGATACCACGTGTTTGCCAAACACCAATGGCACCACTCACATTGTACAGTGGACTCTTTTGGTAGAGAGTTATTTATGATAAAGGAAAGGGTTTTATCGATTTTATTTGCGGCAAGCAATAGCTTGCTGGGGTCATATTCTAACCTGGATTCTAACCGGGCCTTCCAAAACATTTATGCATATTTATTACGAAAAGTGCGCCACTATTTCTTGCTAAAACTGTAGTCTTTCTATTGTCCATATATGTATTTATTTAAATCACCAATACTTGGTTCGGAAGTGCTTATTTTTATAATATATAGGGGAAAACGAAAAAACATTTATTTTGCTAATATTTTTTCAGCGCTATGCATCCTGACGTATGCTCTGTTAATGGCTCGAGGTGTTGTAAGGGCGTCCCGAGACTTGCATCACAGATTACTGACAAGTATTCTGACTTCACCGATGGAATTCTTTGAAACAACGCCAATAGGCAGGATAACCAATCGCTTCTCTCGAGACATAGAGAAGATAGATGGAGATTTGCCCTATAGCCTCGAGTATTGGTTCGACTGTGCGATGAATATAAGTGTGTCCATGTTTGCGGTTGCATACAGCACCCCCAACGTTCTGGCGTTGCTCATTCCTCTGGCGTATTACTACTATAGTATACAGGTAAGTTAACCTTCCTTGAGGATATTACTACCACAGTATACAGGTAAGTTAACCCTCCTTGAGGATATTACTACCACAGTATACAGGTAAGTTAACCCTCCTTGAGGATATTACAATCACAGTATACAGGTAAGTTAACCCTCCTTGAGAGTATTACAATCACAGTATACGGGTAAGTTAACCATCCAATAGGATATTACTACCACAGTATACAGGTAAGTTAACCATCCGATACGGTATTACCTCCACAGCACAAAGTATACAGGTAAATACCAGGCAGCATTCAAAGAAATACAATGTGTCTAAAATGAGGAGAATGTTATGTCGACAGAAGCGTCACACCAAGACAAGTTGTAAAATGAGGAGAATGTTATGTCGACAGAAGCGTCACACCAAGACAAGTTGTCAAATGAGGAGCTTGGAGTCCAAGCTGCGGTCGCCAATCGAGAGCCACTTCACCGAATCCGTCGCAGGAGCTGACATTGTGAGGGCGTACAGAGCTCAAGGGAGGTTTTCTAAAAAGTTGGAGGAAGTAATTGACAACTGGCACAGGATGGAATTTTATGGTTTGCTGTCGAACAGGTATTTGTAAACCTTTCTAACATATGTGTCACCCTCTTGCCGAGTGGGAGCACGGGTGACCCAGTCGTCTTAGGCGCCGCAAATCACTCTACATAGTTGCGTCCCTTGGGAAAGCCAGGAACTTATGACTGTGGGTTCGAATCCCGATTCTGCCTGTTCATGTGTCCAGGTTTATCAGCACCATACTCAAAGTGATAAACGTCTGAGAGCTCAGTCACTCTTGCCGAGTGCTACATTTGTTGAAACAGACAAGCCGAGGCGAAGAGGGTTTGAGAGAAGAATGTGTTAAATTTATTAAGTTGATCGCCTAGTTTCGGAGTCAAGTCCATCTCTGTGCCTCCAAAACGTTTATAGCCAAAGTGGAAATTGGTTTTTTTAATATATTTTTTATTCAATTCAGTATATGATGTTACATAGTTATACATAGAGTAGCACGGGTGATAAACTTATTAGGTATAGGTTACATACCTATACTATACAGCAGACAGCACATTTTAGTTGGCTACATGTGTACAACAATGTTCATAAAAGGTGAAACGAGCAGGTTACATTTGCCATACTTATTAACTAAGCTAAATCCTTACATATAATGAAATCAGTTTTTTTAAACTGACGGTTACACCAAAGAGGTTCTGGTAGTACATGTACTTCTTCAATGTTTGTGGAGTTAGTTTTGTGTCTTCTATACAATGTTCCCCAAGCAGCCAAACCATCTCTCCAGTGAAGTGAGTGAGTGAGTGAGTGAGGTTTTACACCGCTTTTAGCAATATTCCAGCAATATCACGGCGGGGGATACCAGAAATGGGCTTCACACATTGTACCCATGTCGGGAATCGAACCCGGGTCTTCGGCGTGACGAGCTAACGCTTTAACCACTAGGCTACCCGACCGCCCCCTCTCCAGTGAAGGTTAGCTAAGTGTATGCAGTTTTCAATATTGGCCCCATGTAGAAAGTTCTTGTTTTGGAGATGTTTTAGAGAAATTATAAAATACCTTTCCTCTATCATTTCCAGTCCGCCTTCGTCATATTTTCTAATTAAAGTTGTTCGTATTATTTTGCCCCTTTCATCATTCCAGATGAATCTATACAATATTTTGCTTAGTTCATCAATGAATATACTTGGTTGGTTTGGAAGAGAGGAAAATATATGTACTAAGGTTGACAGGGCCAAGGCTTTGACAACAGTAATGTTACCTATCAATGTTAAATTTCTTTTCCTCCAATTCCCTAAAATTTGATTAATAATTTCAATTCTCCAAGAAGTTTAACTTAAGTTTGTAGTATATCGATGATCTGTTCAATGAAAATCAAATAGCCAATTCCATCTCACTGATTTACCTACCTACTAGAAATAAAGGAGACCAGTGAGACCGCCTCATCTGTTTCATATTTAGATCTATGCATACAGATTCAGGGTTACAAAACACTCTCAACAAGACTGTACGACAAGAGGGATGACTTCAACTTTGCAAAAGTCAGCTTTACCATGTCGAGCAATATTCCACCAGCTCCAGCCTTTGGTGTTTTCATTTCACAACTTTTGAGATACAATCGAGCATGCTCTTTCCACCAAGATTTAAAAGAGCGTCATACGACTCTTGCTCATAAGTTGTTTGTTCAAGGGTACAACATTCAAGGCCTCAGTAAAGCTTTCAAAACGTTTTATGGTAGACATGTGGAGGACATTTCCAAATTTTGACTTGTACCATATGTTCCCGTGTTTTATCAGGTGAAAAAAGGACTTGCCTATGCATGTGTTTGTGACGTGTGCCACCGGTGGGGCAGGATACGCTCACCTTTTCGCGATCACCTGGTATCATAACTATTTGATACTGATTCATTAACACATGCTCATGATATAGACTGAATCGTACAATCGACTCTGCTTTATGCAGACATTTCTATTGGATATGGAAAGGGTTTTGTCGTTTATTTATATTTCTGTGCACTTAGTCTTGCAAATGTTTTGCAGATGGTTGGGTGTACACATGCTTGGCGTGGGTAACTTGGCATGCGCGATGTCGTCATTCCTCGGTACTGTCTTCAAAGGTCCCATGTCTGGCGCTCTACTTGGGTTGGGGACGTCCTTCTCTATGGAGGTAATGACTACATATGACAATAAAAAATAGAAACCGATTCGTGAGAGTATAGTTTTCGCCGCTTTTATCAATATCCCATCACTTTCACGGCGTTGAATCTAACCCGACATTAGGAGTGACGGGCGAATGCCTTTAACCACAAAACTAAAAACACATTTACATAATATACTGTGTGTAATAGTCACGAATACATATCCTTATGACGAACAAGTGTAATGATTTCATGCGCGTTCAGCTTTTATATGTGCTGACATACTGGAACAGCTGTCTTATTATTGTTAACCTCGAACTCACATTGTTTGCTTCTTGACAGCCTTAAATGAGGATTACAGCATATGAATCATTTGGAAGTGTTTCATGTACATGTAGTCTACTGATGTGGTGAGAATCTCACGAAGATGGTTGTGTTTGCCTCGCGCGAAATTCAATTATTCAATATCGAGAATCATTGATATCAGGATCACGACTGTTGCCAGACTGTGATGTATCATGTGATAGTTACGTGAACGAATGAAACTAGTGAATCCAAGTAGTTGTCAAGCCGACCTATGGGATTTAGGTAAGCCAAGTAACGCAGAACAGATGGTTATGTAAGAATTGATTTCAGGCACAGTCCACCCTAATTATAAAATTAACTACACTGCCAATATTTTGACAAAATTATTTTTTAAAAAGGCATTATAACCAGGCCATGGGAACGTTTGTTCTGAAAACATTGCCATTGGCATTATAACCAGGGCACTTTGCACGTTCTGAGTAAATCCGTTCTGAGTAAAACATGTCATTATAACCAGGTGCATTATAATCAGGGTGGCATTATAACCAGGGGCATTATAACCAGGGTGGCATTATAATCAGGGTGGCATTATAACCAGGGGCATTATAATCAGGGTGGCATTATAAACAGGTGGCATTATAATCAGGGTGGCATTATAACCAGGGTGGACTGGGGACAATCGGAAAGACTGGTGCATTATGGAGGTTTAAACGTAATACTCAAATGCGATGCGAATTTACGCAAAGCGTACACATCGTTGTTTTACTTGTATACCTCAATGTACTCAAAACTTTAAATGATGAAATATATAAGCCAACAATAATATTTCACAAACTGTTTATGTATTCAGCAATACAAAACAACTGTAGAATAAAGTACGAAATCAGCGACATCGTTCAGCGCGATAATGCAACACAAGCCCCGCCCATTATCAGCAAATCAGAAAAAGTAGTCCGCTAGTGGGTGTGGCCTAATTTCTTTTCGGTTTATACAATAATAAACGTAAATTGCTTGGTTAGCCAATCACGACGGCTTGGAATCACTTGTAATTTACTTATTTTGCTCTGTTTCAGATCAATGGCTGCATGGGATGGTTTGTGATTTTACAGGGTGAAGTTGAAACTAACCTCATTTCTATGAACAGAATCAAAGAGTACATTGAAAGCCCGAATGAGGTAACTGCTCATTATTATCTGAGGAAAGTTGCGCAATTTCACTCTAATTAGCTGCGGGTGTATATTTACCTTCATGAGCATGTATCAAAAACAAAAACAAAAACAATAACCTACATGTACAGCGTTGTTACAAAGTTACACGGTCGTATTAAGTTTGCGTTCACGCCCCATTCGTCACCACTCGCCCCTTTCCGTAACCTGCTATTCGGCTTGTCCCGGAATAACACGAGTCGGTCACGAATGGTTCACGCCCTTGGCTGAAACCAACATCAGGGAAGTACATGCACATCGTTAAATTATAACCCAGATCCATTATCCAGGGTATTTCTCCATTCTGTTATTAGAAATACCCTGGCCTCGCTTTGAACCCGATTTCAAGGTACAGCGCTAAAAATATCCCCCAATCAAAGTCCTCTTACGAACGAGCGACATTATGTGCTAAGTTTACGATGCGGGAGATGGGGAAGGAAATGTCACTCCCACACGAAGCTGTCGTGGCGAATCGCTCCGAGCTATTATATAGAGAATCTCACCTGAGTGTCTTTTGATATCAAATATATCAACGCGAGTTGATAAAAGTGGGGAAACTCCGATGCTTGCCGAGGTTTTTTTCCACTTTTATCAACGAGTGTTGATATATTTGATATCAAAAGACACGATTTTATTTATCATCCAACATCATTCTTACAACTTTTTCAGTTTGTAGAAAGTAATAAGCAGTGTCTTAGTGTAAAAAGTACTGCTAACAGCTTCACTAGCAGAGCCATTAGTGATGTCATTTGATTGTGACGTCATCGTAACCAATGACGTCACAATGGTCTGCAAAGCATTGTGATACAATTTCATTGCAGCGATATCTACAGTGTAGATATCGCTTGATCTCACCCAAGCAATATCTCCTGTGGGAGCCAGTTTTGGATGATAAATAATGGGGATATACAACACTGGATAACAGAGAATGAATAATAGCCAGCTTTCGTTATATGTTCAAGCCATGATCTCACATTGGTTATAGGCTGCACGAAGAAAGGACACGGTACGGTTGCCACCAAGCTGGCCAGACGCAGGAAAGCTTGAGTTTCAGAACTACAGTTTACGATATCGCCCAGGTCTTGACTTGGTACTGCGGGATATCTCATTTACAATTCACGGGGGAGAAAAGGTAAGGATGAGTATTACCAATGCTTATCAAGGTGTTTCGTCCAATACATCCACAGCGCAAGGTTCCACTTGACTGATTCCTCCACACATGTGGTACCTTGCGTAGCACTGGGGTGTTGATAGTGCAGGGTTTGGCTATAAACCGTGTAACATCATGTCCCGCGAAAAGTGCGCTTGAAACCCCTGCGTTGTTTTCTGTGTATAGCAGAAATTGGATGGAGGCCCCGCAAACAGTATGAACAGTTAAATAAGATTGACAGATGTCAAGTGGGGTTAAATCATGTGATTCCAATATGGAATCCTGCCGTAGCATGTCTAGGTGCAATTTGTTTGAGACGAACCAAGTGTGTGACGCCTCGTAGGTTTTGGTGTCAGAGTCGCTGAGAACATTCGTCACCCTTTCATATCACAATCCAGTAGCATACGGAAAACACGAAATGTTGTCTATTGTGGTCATTGGAAAAAGAATCGGCTGATAATTCATTGAAACTGATATCGTGCTAAAATGTACAAATACCCAATTCGCTTGCTCTGATTACGCACCTGAACAAGACCTATTAAACCACCCGGCCTGTTTCATGCTTAGATATATGCATAAAGATTGAGTGAAGGATGGCTTCAACTTTCCAGCGGTCAACTTGCCCTTTATGTGAAACAATATACCAACGGCTTCAGTCTTTGTAATTACATTTCACAGTGCTCTTTCTACGAAGATATAAAAGAGCACTATCCGTCAAACGACTTGTTGTTTGATCTTTGTTACAACAATCAAGGCATCGGTAAAGCTTTCAAACAGTTTTATGACAAACATCTGGAGGACATTTATATGAATTTATTTTCAAGGTGCCAGACGGGGGGATGTATAGCTGGCAGCATCCCAATGTGATAAAGCATATAACATGCTTACCATATAGTCGGAATTCCCTTTTGATATTGAAATGCAGGAGGAATTGACAATGTAGAAATATGCAAAAACTAGTTTCGGCTGAATTTTTACTCATTGGCTATGCTATCAATATTTCACGATAATATGACACGCATCATGTCATCCAGATATTTGTAGAATTGTGTTTATACAAGGGGAATTATACTAGAATTCGTAATTCGAGTGTGTCTGTGTTTCTGTTTGTACTAGTCTGGACTAATTTCGAGTTTATAGTGCTAGGCCACTGAGATACCACGACGTAGTTTAACATGAATACCCCACTCACACTCAGTATCCTGACTCCAAGCCGATCAATCCTTGTTTCAGTCCCCTAAAGCCGAGCGTCAGTCAGGGTAACAACAAGTACCATCTTTTAACGTCTTTGTCCAGTGGACCACGGAACTGGTATAATATCGTGAGGGAATGTTATTTATTGGGATGGAAAGCTATAACATTGAGAGGTGACACGGTCGTTTAGTTTGGGAACAGAATGCATTATGGTACATTCTACATCATCTTCCCGAGGCAAGGAAGTTAACTGACTAAAATATTCCAGTTCCCAACCTTGCCGAACTAAGCCAGAATTTATGGGTTCGATCGTGGCGCTACCAGCGGCTATTACGAGTTATGTCCCTTCTATGACAATCCAAACGCCCAATCAGATTCCACCTCTGATATCACATGCATTTGCTCCAAACAACATGACGGCGCCCAGTGAAGAGAATCTGATAAATAATAAGGATCTATATTGTAATAAAACGGGTATTACTTCGCGAAGTGCATCAAAACATGTGAGCACCTTGATTAATAACATGAAACGATTTGGAAAATATCTGTTGACACCAAGTTGACGGTACCCATGCTTTGCAAATCCTGCAATCGACCGAAATCAGTTTACGAACCGGATGTCGATTTCGTTACGAGATTTTGATTGGACTATTCACAGGCTCGTTAGTCCAGCCAAAACATAACTCCATAATTCAAGCCTAGTTTGGCATGGGTGAAAACTGGACTTTTATAGTCAGTTAACTCTCTTGCCTCAGGAAGATGTTTCTACATTAAAACTCTGCACACTGTAACATATAATTCCGCGTATCACTATTTCAAAATCCCGACGGATAATGATAAGTTCTTTTCTTCAAACATCAGCCTCAGCCGCCTTTACATCAGCTGTTTCAATTAGTGATGTTTATTGTGATTTGAAACCTCTGATTGACTGATCAGAATCTAGTATTTTCTAAAATAATGGTACAATTAGGAATTCAAATATTATATTTAATTTACCAATTTACCTATTTCTCCCTGCTCTAGAATAGATACCGTTTATCGTTGCCCATGCAATCAATCACTTGTTAAGTGACCAAGAGTGACGTGATAACCTTGGACTCAGTCGTAACACAACACTCACTCAACAGTAATCCGAAATATCAAGTCATTTCGCTAAATCGAATGAAGATTAGCGCACGTGTCACGCGTGAAGACCCGGGTTAGAATCGGTCTTTAGCAATCCATGCTTGCTGTAAAAGGCGACTATGCTTGTAAGACTAACGGTATTGGGTGGTCACGCACGCTGACATGCATATGGTTGATGCATGTCATCGTATCCCAATTACGTGGATCGATGCTCATGATGTCAATCACTGGATTGTCTGTCCAGATTCGATTATTTACAGACAGCCGTCATGAAGCTGGATTATTGCTGAGTGCGACAATATTAAACAAACAAAATACCTAGCCAATACATATTACAAATAAACTAGAATGAGTACGTGAACTGCTTATCTCTATAACTGTAAATGATCAAGCAGATCGTTGTGTTTAAAGGAACACAAGTGAAGTTCAAGGGGGCTTCAGCGTGCCTGCATCATTGTATAAGGGTTGAAGATTATAGTTACTAGTGCGTCAGTTCTCTTCAGCAAATTCCATGTTGGAGCTGAACGCAGATTCCGGAAAAAACACATTCGTTGACAATAAAGAAAAATCGATTTTTCGTGTTTGCAGTGCATGGTCAATGATGTTGAGCTACTTTGATTACATGCACTCCCCTTTAGTAAATATGTCCTTCATTGTAATATTACAGGTCGGTGTGGTAGGTAGAACAGGGGCGGGGAAATCATCTCTGATGCTCTCCCTTTTCCGCCTCGTTGAGCCAGCAGAGGGCGCAATTCTAATTGACGGAATTGACATATCAGAAATTGGACTCCATGATCTGAGGGAGAAACTTGCTATCATTCCACAAGTGAGTTGTGTTAGGGGACAAGGAATATTTTTTAAAATCCACTGCAGTGCAAATACGAATTTTCATGAACAGTGTATCAGAGAGATCTGGTGGAAAACCATACTTATAAACCTATTCATTGGGATATTGCAACACAAACATTTAGAAACCGAAGATTTCACTTTCATTTAAAAGTAAGTATTTTAGTTGTGTTTTGTTGTTGACACATCCAAGTGCTCTTGAACGCCTGGCAAGTCAGCGAATTTCACGTGCAAGTTATGATATCACGTCTTCAAGGAAGCGCTATAATGAAGCGCCTCATTTATAGATGCTCGTTATAACATTTAATCAATTTAGACGGTTTATAAGTATGGAAAAACACTTTTGTATTGTATTTAATATCGTATTGTCCATGTGCTTGGAAGTACAGGGTGTGCCAGTAACGTAACGTTGTTACATATGGACTACGTCATCTATTATTGTATGTAACAACTCAATTGTTGGAGTGTTATTTCGATTCTTTATTTATTTCAGGATCCTGTTTTGTTTACGGGATCACTGAGGATGAATCTTGACCCCCAGGAATTGTACAAAGATTCTGAGATATGGACAGCTCTTGACCACACCCATCTCCGACAGTTTGTTGTGTCTCTCCCTAGCAAGCTGCAGACTGACTGTGGAGAAGGCGGGAGCAACTTCAGGTGGGTGAAATTAAAAAAACATCAATGATACGGAGAACGACTAACTTCAAACTTTATTCTGTACTTCATTTAAGGTCAAGGTCACTGAAAAGTGTCTGAAGGTAGTTCTGCCTTTTTAGTACCGAAGCAATCCGTCTGTTATGTGACATGTTCGTAAGAGTTGGCACCAAAGGAGGCAACAATAAACAATCAAGAATTACCTCAACGGCTGAAATGTTTTCTGGCCAATGTGAATAAAACAGAAGTGCCTTACTAAAGTTACTAAACCCGGAGTGACGTCATGAGGCCTTAAGGGCAATAACCTTCCTTTCAGTGTGTAGTTTACGTGGTTTAGACAAGACTTTAAGTGTCATAATTTGCCTGGCTAGTTAGAGGATGGGTATACTTTAATGCATACACGTACAGTAGAGATCTGAGTTGCCCTGTTCATATCTTCAGTGTTGGTCAGCGACAGTTACTCTGCCTAGCTAGAACACTACTGCGAAAGGCTAAAGTGTTGGTTCTAGACGAGGCTACAGCAGCTGTTGACATGGCAACGGATGATTTGATCCAGCAGACCATCAGGTCAGAGTTCAAGGATTGCACGGTGCTGACTATCGCCCACAGACTCAACACGGTCATGGACTACGACAGGTGATAGTATTCCGGCACACAATTCACGCACCATGATACAGTTATATCTCAAAATAAAACATATCCAATTTAAGGACCTACATTTGATTTACTCGGGGATGGGGGCTTCAGCTTCAAAACCAAATATTCTTTTGTTTATAAATATGTGCCTGTTTTGTTTTAAAATAACACTTTGCAACAATGTATTTTTTGTGGCAGGCAGATTCTCCTTTTTCAACAGCCTGAAGCACCATTACTTATTCCAATAAAAAATCGGACCCGTGAAGATCCGGGGTAGAATAGGTCTTGCTTGCCATAAAAGGCGACTATGCTTGTCGTGAAAGGCGACTAATGGGATTGGGTGGTCAGGCTCCCTGACTTGGTTGATGCATGCCATCGTACCCAAATTGCGTGGATCGATGCTCATGATGTCAATCACTGGATTGTCTGGTCCAGACTCGATTATTTACAGATCGCCGTCATAAAGCTGGAATATTGCTGGGTGCGGCGTTAAACAACAAACAAACAAACCAAGCCTATAAAATCACACACACACACACACACACACACACACACACACACACACACACACACACACACCAGGACAACCCACCCCAACCCCTACCCTCGCCCCCTATCGAATATGAAATGGTCGGTCCCTCAGTATAGGATAACGGACAATCAGAAACATCAGAATTAAGATTAGTTTGTTTGAATATTGTGGGTTTCGAGGGAACGACTGCAACCTGCACATCATTTTTGGCTTCCGAGGCTTTATGTAACTAAAACAATGTTAAACAGGCGTTAACCCAACTCAATTATTCACCAGTTACTACACTCGAGGTATCATGATAACACTTCCCCATTTCAGGATCCTTGTGTTGGATCACGGTTCTGTGAAGGAGCTGGACTCCCCGACACGACTCCTTGAAGAAAGGGGGATGTTCTATCAGATGGCAACGGACGCGGGACTTGTATTATCTGGCCCTTCTGGGTGACATCGTGTCATAAAAGAAAGTGTGGCAACGAAATACATTGTGTCGTTTTCATTTTCGGTATTACATCACTGACACCCCATGGGGATTCTGGATTACAATATGGGTCTCAATCCAGAGGGGGGGGAGGGGGCGGTCGAGTAGCCAAGTGGTTAAAGCGTTCACTCGTCACGCCGAAGACCTTGGTACCATGTATGGAGCCAATGTATTGCTAGAATATTGTTAAAAGTTGCGTAAAACCATACTCACTCACTCACTCACTCACTCAATGCAGGGGTGATCAGGCTCGGTTAGGTGATATGATTTGCATTGGATTGGATGAAGAGTTAAGCACTACATTGTTTAAATATCGTCTGTCGCTAAATATATACATAAATACATCAATGAATGAAAAGCATCTCTCTCTCTCTCTCTCTCTCTCTCTCTCTCTCTCTCTGAGCCTCTCTCTCTCTCTCTCTCTCTCTCTCTCTCTCTCCTCTCTCTCTGAGCGTGTGTTCGAACTCCCGATTCGCCCTGATTATGTTGTTCACCTACATGACTTTCGACTTTTCTCCCACACTGTACAGAGTGGCGTTAAACAATACTCACTCAGACTTAGCGCAGTGACGGACGTATGCATGCACATTTGTAATTGTTGTGTGAGTTTATTGTTGAAATACAACCCTCATGCTACAATACAGGCAACTGAGTATATATCCACACGAAAAAAACAAATCTTTCACTTTCTAAAGCGTAGAAATGACATCATGTTGTGAATCATTTTATCAACTGTGTCAGTGTGTGGGTGAAAATCTCGAGATGTCTTTGCCATAGTCAAGTCCCAGAAATCTACATTTAGACAATCTTGTCTTGCAAAGAAGCAAATTTCTGATGCCAAATATCAGTGTACAGAAGACCCCAGTAAGATAACAAACCAGGCGCTGATCTGAAGAAATGCATGTGGGCCACGAACTGCAATTAGGAACGCGTAATCAGAGGTTCTTTGCAGAGGGAACAAGTCCCCGAACATGTCGCCTAAACACATCCGGGTGGACAAGCGTGAAGTGAACGTACAAATATAACACTACAATATCCTTGGAGGTGTTCGGGAGACGGTCCATCATGATGTGCTGTGCCTGGTTTGTTGACCTGTTATAGTGTATAGCGCCATGATAGAATGGTAGTTCGTGAGCATACCAGGAAATTAGAAAAGTATGTATCAAATCTGTATCAATAACAGGTACATGAGCATCTGTATGGGAAGGAAAGCGTAAAAATGAATGAAAAGCTCCTTTATACAGATTACTGTTTGAATCCCCATGAAACCAGAGCGTTCTTCCTTTCAAGCATTGTCTATAGGCATCAATGGTGCGAGGCACCGTGTCATTACACAGTAGCGACTGCCACTTGTCGTGCTGGAAGAAACCATTCGGAGACTTCCGTTGCCATGTCATTTCCGCCGGAAGCGTATTGCAGGAAGTGGAAGGAGCCGATAGTTTTACATCGTTAGGACCTGTGAAAAGCAATGGGTTTACGATGTATAAATCAATGTTGGATGCGTACATGTTCGTGCTTCTAGTGCTGGTAATGAAAAGGCTATATCTACTCCCTAGTAATGCGGAAATTATAACTTCAAGTTCGTGTTTATTTTCTTTGAAGAGAATTGTACATGTCCGGATCCTTTTTATATCTTATGTGTTTATGTCCCCGCAGTCCGATGTGGATACATGTTACTATATATTGTCTTTGCAGTGTGGTACCCGATGGTAATGCAAAGTTGCGTTCCATTATGTGTCATTGTGTCCCGAACTTGTGGAACGACATTCTACTGATGGCGTTGTGTATTGCGTTGACGTTAAACAACATTCACTCAATCATTTAAACTCCAGCCTAATTATGAAGCTATTGTATTGGGGCATCGTTGTAGCCTAGTGGTTTAAGCGCTAAGGACACGATTTCGACACTTACTTTGCACAACTGTATGTCAACACTATGAATTAATATTTTGTCCTGAGACCGACACAATTTTATCCCTCCTGTCAACACAATGAATGCATGATTTGTCCTGTGATTGGCACAATTGTAAACCTCCTGTCAACACTATGAATTAATTATTTTTTTCTGTAAGTGATATACAAACGCAACCTATGCTTACCTCCTACAACAGACACCTTCACTGAACTCTGTAAACTATCTTGTTTTGCGTTTGCCATAGGCCTGTGTTGGGGAAAAACATATTCATAAGTTGGATTAAAGTTGCTCGGAGCAAGGATCAGTCACACGGCTTAAGACCTTTTTTAATTAGGTACCAACTGAGGAAATAATTTAAAATGACACATGTCATACAAATCAGGTTTCATGTCAACGACTTCTGGGTTTTCCTCTCATATCAAGTGGCATAACTGACTTAAGCACAAAAAGCAGCTTTAAACCCAACAAATCTGACTGACTGAGTATGGTTTTACGCCACTCTTAGCAATATTCCAGCAATATCACGGCGAGGGACACCAGAAATGGGCTTCACACATTGTACCCATGTCGGGAATCGAACCCGGGTCTTCAGCGTGACGAGCGAACGCTTTAACAACTAGGCTACCCGACCGCCTCTTAAACCCAACTAACACACCAATGTGACCACTTTCTAAATGGCATTGTGTGTTCATAGCTTTCGGCCATGGGAGCCGTGCCAATTTACACTTGTCAGAGGGGTACACAAAGTACGTGGTCTAGACTAGCAGTTGTTGGACTTTCATTTTTGTGGAAGCCTCGGTGGCTGAGTGGATTTGGTCGCTGATTTAGTGTGCCTTACTCTGGCAGTGTGGGTTCGAATCCCAGTCAACCCAAAAATGTACGAGAACTTTACAAAGAAAGTGTTATCCCAAATATGACATTTGTTACATTTGACCACTTTCTAAATGACATTGTGTGTTCATAACACAACATTGTATTTAAAGAGATGTTTAGATACCAACAATGGAAAGGACCAAATATACATACAAACCAATAATGCTTCTGTCGGTGAAAAGCCTATTATTTTTGCACTACATGAATGCGACCATGTGTCACATGTCGACTGGTTGATTTTGGACTTCTTACAGTACCAACTGTCGCCATTGTTCTCCTTGGTGAAATTACACCACTCGTTTGCCTTGAAGGAATCCTCTTGTCTAACTGAACATGCTGTTGCATCTGTTAGATTGTTTGCCCGGAATTCAGCCAACGCTGTCCAGAGACTGCCATGCCGTTGGTATATCATATAGCTGAGAACTACCTCCTCCTTCCTCGTGGCAATGAATGCCTTTAGTTAATTGTAGCGCCTCCTGACCATACGGCTCTCAGTAGAGCAGTGTAGCTTCCATTATTGAAGTCCTTCACCTGACCGGATACGGAAGCTGCTGCCTCTGGGCTCTCCATCCAAACTCTCAAAAAATCACCTCCAGTTAACTTGCGGTTACCATTCAAATCATACAGATCTATTTGCACTTGAATTTGTTCTCCTAAATGGTAGACTTTGTGGGCGTGGTTGAGATGCACGAGGGAGGTTTTCGCATCTGCACATAATAAAGGCACAGAGACAAGTCCATACCGTATTACCTCCTCTGTGAGATATGTCTTTGTTCCTGTTGGAAAGTAGCCCCTGAAACACTACCAATTACATACTATTACATCAATGATCTTGTATATACAGAGATTCGTCATGCCAATATATATAGAAACAGAGGTGATATATACAAAACATTAACGACATTCCCAACCAACATTAGGGCATAAATAAAATTCTTTGCATCCTCTAGAAATAAATAATACAACAGCCAACTGAATCGCCTTCACATGTCTACCATAAAACATTGTGAAAGCTTTGAATGATGTAACTTTGATCAAACTTCTTAATTGTATAATGCCTTCATCTGTACCATGCTGTGGATTATGCCTTATGCCTCCTCTGTACCACATCCTTTTGCGAATTACCTCTATACATAAATTTGTACTGTTATTCGACTGCATCTGTATCCTGTGTATATGACTGAATAAAAAAACAAACAAAAAAACTTTGATCAAAATACATTTGCGCAAGAGTCGTGTGACGCTCTACTGAATCCTGGAAGAAAGAGCATCCTCGACTGTACCTCAAAAGTTGTGAAATGTAGACATCAACTGCTGGAGCTGCAGGAATATTGCTCGACACAAAGGAACAGTTTACTGTTGGAAGGTTGAAGACATTTCACCTGTCATACAGTCGTGTAGGTAGTTTTACGTCATTTTGAATCTGTATGCACAGATCTAAATATGACACAGGCGAGGTGATCTCACTGGTCTTGTTTCCAGTTCAGGTAGGTAAATCAGTGGAAAGGGAATTGACTATTTGATGGTTATTGAAGGATATCAGATCATCGATATATCTGAAGCTTAAGTTAAACTTTTTGGCCAAATTACCTTGTTTTGACTTTGCCAATCCGAGCAGAAATTCTGTAAAATATACATAAAGAAACGGATCAGCAAGAAGGGCAGCGCAGTTGGTTCCGATGGGGATGCCTACTTCTTGCCTATTTTAGGTGGCAAGGAAGAAATTAGATATATCTGGTTGCATAAATAACATTGATACCGTTCCCTCGATCATAACATATATGCACATAGAACGAGGAGAGATTATATAGCCGTTGGAAATAAACCTATTTAAAATAGTTTAATTCATCGTGTAACTTGCTCCTACGTATAACTTGGCATTCGTGTCCTTAGAAACCATTTGGCTTAGTTCTACATATATGATTAGTACCCCGTTGGTGGGCTCTTGTCGGATTATTCTGTTCCCATTTGGCATTTATTGTCTGGGGTAATTATTCAATCTAAATCCAGGTTTGAAGTGAGGTGAAATGTGTGTTATGTAATATGCACGTGGAAGCCCAGCAAGTGATGAATGATCAGTTGATTTACGTTTTCGTAAATCAACGGATCGTTCCTAGTCATCAAAGGATTAACAGAAAATACATTGATTGATAAATCACTGTTATCTTGCACAGTGGATATGTCAAATGTAAGTGTTTACATGTCTAGGTTTA